TCGTCGTCGTCGTCGTCGTCGCGTTTGCGTGTCGTCCGTCGTGTGCATGCGTACGCGCGTGCGTGTGTGAGTGCGTAAACGTCGGGAAAGGGTGAATAACTCGTGCCAGGTGAATCAATCGCCCGACACACTCGAGATGCACACGGTAAAACGCACGGATCATTTGAAATATCATCTGTCTGTCGAAATAATCACGGTACCGATAACTAAACGCGCATCAGTAAATTGACTATCGCTCTATTTGATCGTCCTGATTACGTCAATTGTTGGTTGTCCCTTGGGATTGAGTATATCGTATCGCTTATCGTGGCGCGAATTTCGTGGGAATTATTTCGCTATACTCTAACGATTTAAATTTCTTCTATCGGGCCGAGACCCGTGGTGATTACTAATAAAATTCATTAAAACGATCGATATCACTGGTGTATTTAAGCGGAGCTCAGTGTGATTCTAACAATGGCACGATAATTCGATAATGATTATTTAACCGCGACAGCAGCGCGGTGTCGTTTATTCAATTTCAGACAAGCGAGGCAGCAGAGGCGGCGATCAACGTGAAAAGATATACTTAGCTCTTGGCCCCGATTGTCAGCGAGAATTTCGCGAAATCGAAGAAACAGGCTTTCTACCGATTTTTAATTAGTAACTGAATGTCTAACGGGGCCATTTAATGGAGATCCGCTCACCGATCCGCGGTCACTCAGACCGACGGAAATAATTAAACATTCGCGATAATACAGGACTCGCGCGCGATAACGATCGCAGTCTTACGTCTTTTCATCGTTAAAATACTTACGACCGTTACGCGAAATTACCGAAAACAGAGCGATCTAATCGTAAAGAAGAATCTGTCGCGCCAAACACAACGGCCAAAATGGGGGAATACGCAAAGAATAAAACCGCTAGAGGGGACGGGAGTAATCGTATCGGCGAACGCTCGTTTGCTTTTAACTGTCATTAAATCGCTATTCGAACGAAGCGCGCCGGCTCACCGTGCAGCGCGGTGAAAGTTTAGGATGCTGCACCCGATCCCGTGCACTTTCTCTCTCTCTCTCTCTCTCTCTCTCTCTCTCTCTCTCTCCCTCTCTCTCCGCGCGCACAGCAAATTTTCATCTTTCTCTTATCCTAAAACGGACGCCTTTGTTTACTTTCCAGCAGTGAGCTCTATGCGCCCGATAGACAGCACTAACTGCATTCTGGTTCAAGATATCAAGGCTGTCACTCACGAAAACGCACACATCCACGACTCGATATCCACGCAGATCCCCACAGAAGGTAAATATCGAGCGGTATTAATTTGCATCTACTCTGCATGATGTAAATACTCTCGCGCGCAGCGTCATACGCTAATTGCTTTTGGGAAGCGCGAGTGGATGAACGTTTCATCGATATAATATCTTTAGCAAGGACTATATCGCCGCACATCCAAATGTCATCCGCTGTAAAGATTTCACAATATGAGCTGTACCAATTTCATGAGATAATTGAACAATTGAAGTTCATTTGACATACTTGATATGAAGATAAACTGAGAGATATGGAACAATAAAAAGTCCCATAAAAAGATAGCGTCATCTGCTCGGCTTAAAATAAATTAATGTTTGGTAACAGTCTATTTATGAAATAATATTTTTATTTTTTCTGAAAATATAATATAATAAAATAAATATGATGTACAATATCGTATTTTATATATTATTATATTATGTGTAATATATAATATATAATATCTTTCCTTTTAGTTATTTTTATTCGTCAAACTTACACGTTATACAGGTTACATTTACAATCTAAAACGAAAGTCGTCCTGCAGTGGTATAAGTCAGACAAATAAGAGACTTTTTCTTTTTTTTCATAAAAAGACTATTAGATTTTACGCTAGACGATTTTACGTGCGCCGCGACTTTCTTAGTGATTTATGCTACTGCGTTATCCAATGTGTCACATCCCCGTGTCTCTCCCTCGTAGAATCCCTGCCTACGAGCACGGCGGAGCATTCGAGCGCCGCGGATAGCGCCGGCGATCAGCAGAGCGACCCGCAGATCCAGCAATCGGCGCAGCAATGGCCGGCCGTGCTCGAGCTGCAGGCCTACAACGTCGCGCACTCCGCCATCATTCAGCCGTACCACTTCTGGAACACGGAATTCCGCAACAAGCAGCCGGCGTTTATCAGGCTGAACTTGACCCTGCCGTGGGGCGCGAATTTCGCGGTGTACGGCAGGCGGAACGTCGCGCCCAGCGTCACGCAGTACGACTTCGTGGAGTTCGTGAAGGGCGGCCGGGTGGTTCACAGGCTGAAGAGGGACATCACCGCGGAGGCCGTCAGTTTCATGCAGTCCAGCAGCCCGCAGGACGTGGTCCGCGTGGAGCGCGCGGCGCAACCGCCCGCGTCTTATCAGCACGTGCTCATCAAGAGAACGATCGTGGAGCCGCTGATGGTCAACGTCAGCCTGCTGCAGTACTTCGACACCGGCGACTGGTTCCTGTCCGTGTACAACGACGAATTGCAGCCTTACAAGGTCACCCTGGTCGTGACGGAAGCCGAAGGTGTCTCCACCACGTGTCCCAACGACTGCTCCGGACGTGGATCTTGCTATCTTGGCAAATGCGACTGTATAGACGGATATCAGGTGCGTTTCTGCGAGATTTATTCTTAAATTATCCGTCCATGTACCATCTGAAAAGATTAAAGGCTAAGGAGACGAAACCTTGTGACGGTTCCAGGGTGCTGATTGCAGCAAAAGCGTGTGTCCGGTTTTGTGTTCATCTCACGGGCAATACGGCGGTGGTATGTGCCACTGCGAGGAGGGCTGGAAAGGCGCGGAGTGCGATATACCGTTAGGTGACTGCCAAGTTCCTGATTGTAATCAGCACGGCCAGTGCGTTAGAGGATCCTGCGTCTGCAATCCCGGCTGGAAGGGCGCTTTCTGTGATGAACGTAAGTTGACAATTGAGAATCGAGCGACATACGCGTAGGAAAAGATTTGAGAAGCTCATTTCAAATCACTGAAAAATTTAGGAGCAAATTATTGGCTTCTCAATTAAATATATATTTTCTTACATTAAATGAAAAAGAGATAAGGTCGACGGTATATCGGAATATCGGGTTTGAAAAGATCGTTCGAGCGCGATCGATGACCGTTGCATTGCAAATGCGCGCGACGCCACGACACATATTTCAGCCTTAAAAACGGCTTAGCGGAAGTCACCGGTGACGGGAAACGTTTACCTCGAACATCTATTTCTGCCCCCGGGATCGTTATTTCTTCATGTTTGTCACAGCACCATTAATTTTCCCATAATTCAAGCGTACGCTCTGGCTCTCTATCCGGGGAGATTCAAGATATTAGTAATGCAGAGTTCCCGTCGGTAGAGAACACAGCCGGCCTGTGTACAACCTATAATTAATGCACGCGGAGTTCTCCAAATTTACATATGGGTCAAGCCATGCCAATTCGGCGCGACAATTAGTTTCGTATTGTTTCGCGGGAATTTGAATAATACACGAGCGCGCAGCGCGCGCGGCACGCAGCTGCGTTCGATACGTTATAATTTCGCGAACCCCCGGAACTTCCGGGGACTGAGTGACGTACGATATAAATGACGAGATTATTCGCCGGGAACGAGACACTTCGTCTCTGACATTCTCACGGTCCTCGTTAGAGATACGCTCGCCCGTCGCTTTTTCCTAAACGCAGACGAAAACGGTATTAGTTCCACGTCAGTGGAATATGTCAGCTCCAATCGTAAGAACGATAAATTCGAAGAGCGGAAACGGATTTGCATTAGTTGCGACGCGACGGCAAATGAGAACTAACTGGCGAATAAGAATCCGAATCAAGAGACTGGCCTATTTCTTTTAAAAGACTTTCCTTTAAAGGCAATAGCAAAATCTCCACATATTATATTTTATATATTTGCACGATACAATACATACGTGATTTATTTTATGATGTATTTTATTTCAAATCCCGGCAAAAGATTTATTTTCACCACTCAATTACGCACCGAATGATAAAGTTGGATATTATTCGAATAATTTTTTATTTAACTTATTATTTAAATGCAATTTTATTTATTATTTGCATTATTCATTAGTCACATTGTACGTTATTTGCATTATTCATATTATTTTCTTTTTTCGTATTGTTATTAAAGAAAGGTCCCCAACTCGAAAGAATTATAAAAGTTTTGATTAAAAAAAGTATATGATTATCTTACATGTTAATGAATAAAATTATAATATTAATATACTACTTGAATTTTTATTTAATAAAAAATAATAATTTGAGAGAAAAAAAGAGACATTTGAAAATGCATTAATACTGTGTTTAATTTTTCTATTTAATTATATAATTTAATTTTCTGTTTGATTATATTGAGTTTACTTTGCTTTTTTCTCAACTTTCTAATATGTCTTTAAAATAAAATATTTTTTATATATAAAAATATATACGTTAATTTTATTTATATCATCATTAGTAATACGTAAATAATTATTTGTTTGAATTATTATTACATTATTTGATAATATAACAAAATAATGTTATTCATAATATTATTTATACAAATAATAGAACGAATATTATATGATTCGAATAATTATTTAGATAAAAATTTATTTAAATTTTTAATTAGTTGAATAAATTGTTGAATAAAAATTTATTATTTACGAATAAATTGTATCCTGTTTTTTTTATTTATTATCTGTTATTCGAATAAAAATTTGCTCATCTGTACACTGAGAAAAAAGTTTGGTAATAGATATCAAATATACTTTATTTAACGTATTAATGCAATGTTTACTAAATATTATCAAATAATAATAGTAATAGTAATAATAATAATAGTATAATTACTCGTTTAGTAATAACTACTAAATATTATTAATATTTACAAAAGTAAAATTAGTGTTTAATTTATTTTGATTGATTTATATTAACCAAACGTTTGCTTGAAATTATTTCACCAAAGTTCAGTAACCATTATCTATAGGCTTGAATATCATTACAAGAGTTTTTCTCAGTGTGCCAAATAAATAATTCTAAAATTATCGTTTCTCTCTCTCTCTCTCTCTCTCTCTCTCTCTCTCTCTTGTTGTTCATAGTTTAAGAATTGATGTCTCAATATTTTTACCGGAAAGCGCTCGTTTCAAAGAAACATTCTGTATGTACCATTAAATACGCTTAATGGTATCATACTTCAACGCTCAATTTACTGCGTTTCGCGTTTCCACGTTCCACAGTGGGTGCGCGAACGCACCTGCCAGGTTCTAATGAAAGCGAACAAATCTATGATCCCGTTCGATCAACGTCGCGCATACATAATGCAAGAAGAATCCGCCAGGAATTCCTCTCATCTCTTGCGTCCCGCGTATACGTATAACGCGGCACGGCGGACGCGGGCGACGCGGCCCGCGACGGCGGCGGCGGCGGCGCCGCCGCTGCCGGCGCTGCTGTGCGCCGAGGACGCTCTGGAATTAAGTTTCATAATTTCCCCGGGGCAGGTGGGATCCGCGGGAATAATGCAATTGTTCCGATGCCATAATTTAAAAAGTTGGTCCATTCGTCCACGCCATGGACGCAATCAGCGGCGCCCGGGCGTGACGGGCGAGGGAAGAGACGGGGATGGGCTCTGACGGGGTGCGCCGGAGATGCGTTCACACCCCGCGAGCGAGAAAGCCTTTAGCCTTTAGCGAAAAGGCTCCAAGGCCTTTGCACCGAATTGTAAAAACCGCGACGATTTCTAATCTAAACGCGCGCTCGATTCGCTCTCTCGAACTTTCAGCCGACTGCTCCGATCCGAACTGCAGCGGCCACGGCGCTTGTGTCTCCGGCAAGTGTTACTGCAAGGCCGGCTGGCAGGGCGAGCGGTGCAACCAGGTCGATCAGCAGGTATACCAGTGTCTGCCCGGCTGCTCCGATCACGGCACGTACGACCTCGAATCTGCGGCCTGCGTTTGCGAGGAGCATTGGACCGGGGTCGATTGCTCGCAGCCGAGTTGCGGTCTAGACTGCGGACTTCACGGATCCTGCGAGCAAGGCCGCTGCAAGTCAGTATATACACACGACACACACACACACACACACACACACAAACACATATATATATAGGTATATATATATCCTTTATGGGTCCTTCATGGGCGTGTTGCGACCGGGATTCCGGAATTGGGTTACCCGTTGGCGCAACCGGCACACAGCCGGCCAACAGCCGCTCTCGCCGGGATTGAACGAGGAAAGTGACGCGTGTCTCAACACCCGGGTCGTTTTTCTCGGATTAAAGGAATTCCATGCGACCTCGATTCGTTTTCGCTGCCATATGACGCCCGCACCTCGCGCGAGATCATTGTTTAATGCGGAAGATTTGCGGAATTGTGCGGACGTGGCGCGGCCATTTACGCGGCTCTCTTTCTGTCTGCCTCACAGAGTGTGACGTGCGAGCTTTTTGCAACTTTTACGACTGGAATAGATTACCGGGTAATGCCGCGTCGAAGAGTGAGAAACGTCGTAAAGTTTTCAACGAATGCAACGTGGGGAGGCACGTCGCGGTGCATTTAATAGTAATCCGCGCGCGGGAAGGAAAGAGAAAGAGTAACGTTTTGTCGGGACATTGAAATATTGTGGGATAGATGTGGGCGAAGAATGGCCTAAAAATGAGTAAATTGCTCGCCGGGATCGCGGCGCACAAAAGTTGAGGCTAAAAAGGTGAAAAATTGCGAGAAAAAGGCTCTGTCTTACGAGGCGCCAACTTATCACAACTCGAAGGACCGTCCTCGTCCCTTCCCACTTTCCTTTGTCAGAATCAAGGACGCGGGAGAGGATCTCCTTTCTCATATTCTAAAGCTGACGCCTCTCGTCTACCACCCGCTCTCTTTCTCTCTCTCTCCCCTCTCCTTTCTTCCTCCCCGGCTCTCCCCCCGTTCCATCCCCGAGAGTTGGCGTAAAAGAGGCTCTAAGTGCAAAAAGTTCTCCTCACTACGGCAGAACAACTTCGAAACTCAGTTCAAACTCGCATTTTTTATTGCAGCCGGTATAAACGGCGAGAAATTATTTTAGCGTTCGGCGATACCGCCGTTTAACATAACGAATCCTGTTAGAAACATTTGCGTATCGGGTACTACGAAGTACGATTAACGTATACCAAAATGCGAGTAATGCAATAACCGCGTATTATTATATATTTCTCCACGTGAATATTGTTTTTATTTCGTAATTTCAATACGTTGTTGAATGGAAATTAATTGACGTCCGCAATTAAGATCTGTAAGATGTGAGGCACACTTGTTTTGCAGATGCCACGATGACTGGACCGGAACGAAATGCGATCAAAAACCGTGCGATTTGCGTTGCGCCGAGCACGGTCAGTGCAAAAATGGGACCTGCGTGTGCAGCCAAGGATGGAACGGAAGACATTGCACTTTACGTACGTAAAATATCGGAGATTATGTTCTCGTAATAAATTCGGCGCTTTACCTTGCCCGCGAGCATATATATATATATCTTGCCGTCGATAATAAGTTCCCCGATACGAAGCGGCGCACTATCATTTTTCAATAATCGATTAGTCGGCTGTAATTATTGAAAATGGTGTCTGAAAATGGTCCTCTCCCTTTAATAGCCGGATGCGAGAATGGATGCAGCCGTCACGGATTGTGCACCCTGCAGGACGGCGAATATAGCTGCGAGTGTTCGACCGGGTGGGCCGGCAGAGATTGCAGCATACGACTCGAATTGGAATGTAATGATTACGTTGACAATGACGAAGGTAAGTTCCTCAAATAATAATCTGGCATTAATCATCAACACTGTTATTAATGACATACTATATTGCTCATCTAATATTATTTTTGCGAAGTCAGGGGGAAAAGAAATTTACTGAGATAATATAATTGTACAGAAAAATGCTAATTCCGTTCGATATAGCATTAAAATGTAATGTACACAGCGTGAGCAAAGTACCAATTTTTGATCGTATCCAATCGTTTGTTGAGCTTGTAAAGATATAAAAATAATCAAGAGAGATAAGACCGTTTAAAAGATCGTTTAAGAAATAGAATCTCGAGACGTGTTCGAGTGGATAGCTAATAGATTGCCTTTCTCAGATGGCATGATGGACTGCTCTGACAGCGAGTGCTGCACGCACGAAGCTTGTTCAGAACATATCATGTGCCTTGCTAGTAATAATCCCGTGGACGTACTTCTCCGAAAGCAACCGCCCAGCGTCACAGCGTCCTTCTATCAGCGGGTGAAGTTCCTCGTCGAGGAGAACAGCGTACAGAGCTACGCCCACATGGACGAGTACACGGAAAGGTAAGATCGATCATTTCCACCCGGACGGATTAAAATTCGAATTAGAATTCGCTTAGTCTCTTACTTTCATAAGATAAGCGAGAGCGACGTGTCCGAACGACCGAGAACTCGCCATTTCTACGATAAAATTTCTGACGGATTTTTCCGCGCAACACACACGCGCGCGGATGTTTCTCCCTTTCTATTTTTTATTTTTGCATTTTTAATGCTTTAGGGGAACATAAACGCGGGCAACGACTCGGTCGATCGTAAACGTTGCACATATGACATTTAATGAAGATAAAATAGCATAGCTGCGTGTCATAGTTTGGCCTTTTTACGACTTTCATGCGACCGCGCATTACTTTCCTCGGTTTTATCGTTAGCCAGAAATATTCCGCGTATCATCGTGTTTGGTTGAGCACTTTCGTTCCTTTTTGGTACAGCACGCCGTGAATTTGTCTTCGACGTGTGCAGTGAACGTTCTAAAAAGCGTTATTAATGTTCAAAATTGCAGTTTACAGGACTGACAAATTTAATGTGCGAAAATACAATACATCGCGTCACGCTGCACGCGGTTATCGAGTTATGAATATTATTATGTAACTTATACGCGTTTCAATATGTGGTACCAGTTTACGATGGGGTACATACTTTCTCATATTTATTTATTACATATATTTTTTTACGTGTAGGATATGTATATGTCTTGCATATGCGTGCATGAGATATATACGCACCAATAATTTCACGTGGACGAGACAAAGTTAATTAAAATATATTTTCAGCTTTGAATACGTGTAACTTGTTTTTAATTTATTGTGGAAAAGCGTAATATAAATTTTGTTTATGAAATATACGTTTAATACGGATACAATACAAGCCGCAAAATAGATACGCAAAATCTGATATTATGAAAGAATCTGCATATTCCCTGCTCTGCATTATAAATTGATAATAAACAGAATCAAGTCGCGAAAATGGTGGGCCAAAACAGTTTACAAAATCATCGTAGTCTTATCAATATCGTTATTTTATATATATAATTTTCAGCGCAATATAAATTATTTCGTTGATTAAACATGTCACACGTCGAAACTATTGGTACACGAACGGACGTTACGTGTCGCAAATATTATTTAAATGAGGATACATGCGATTAATTATTTAATAAATTGATGTTTCCCCCATCGTGAGCGGCCATTGAAAGCTACAAAAATTTGATCGAATCGTCATGAATCCACATCCGTAACAGCTGAAATATCAGGAGAGCCCCCGGTGGGTGACACACCCTGCAACCCCCTCTAACCATCCTTTCCTAGTGTTTCACCCCTTTCCCCCCTCCGAATGCCAATTGTATCGATAATTACTTCGAAATCATTGCCAATCAAAGGTTTTCCGTTAATTAATCTCCGCTTTGGCGATATAAAACTTTTAAATGCACATTTGTAGTTGAAATTATTATAACGAACGCTAATAAATAAATAAATGTATGTTAAATTTGCAACTGATTTCTATCTTTATATATGTCACGTAAGGAAGAGAATATTATTTGTTGTTAATTTAAGAAAAACTTGTGATTGAAAATCGTTAAAATTTACAAGAGATATATTTCAATATATCTAATTTAATAATAATTGACGAATATATCGCATTTCACACGTGAAATCAACTGAAATGATATTTCAAACAGCCAAATAAATGATAAAGAGATTTAAAAAATATATAAGCTAAATATAATTTACAAAAAGTTTATTTTTTAAAGATTAATGAGATAAAAACATTTTCTCTTTAATCAGCCTTTGTTCGGCACTGAAGAAATGATTATCGATATGTATGCGGCTCAGCTGGAAGAAGCCGCGACGGCACGTCGGGGGTATCGTGTATTTTGTCTAGTGTTTATCCTCTGTGTGTAACCCTTTACCACCACCAGATTACCAATCACCCTACAGCCGAAGACCGAAAAAAAAGGCTCCGTTCTGCCTACGGACTGAATGACGAAAGTCTGCATAAACGAGAGAAATATGCTAGAGACTTGCTTTTGTATTACCTTATTAGTTCATTTCTCACGCGTTAATGTATTCTAGGCACTGTTCGTTATCGTCATAAAGTATATAAAACAGTATTCGGCCTGCGCGCAATGTAACTAACATATATAAGGAAGGACAGAGATACAATTTTCAAAATTGCTTTCCGACACCAATAATCTGGCCATTCGTTAAGCGATTACGAGGAAGGAGTTCATAGATAAAGCGTACGAATGGTTGAGTCAGACGGGCAGAGATCAAAACTCCCTTAACGAGAATTTGCAATTATCTGTGAAAAGTCTCTGTGCAGAGAGCTATCGATGTCAAAGAGCACAAGCGCGCCGTGACTCGCCCACTCGTAAAAGTATTTTCTAGATATGGTAGACACAAGTTTGAAATTTCTCGTACCGTCTCCTTCTTTTTGCTCCACGAAAACTTTCTATACGGTGCGTATAATAAGGTCCATGTTGTCGTCGAAGACTGTTCCAGAAGTCGAACATTTAGAGCATTGTTTTTGTCCATTGTCCATTCGTCTCGTAATATCGCTGGAATATCGATTACCATTCCGAGTAACACTTACGGCCAACACTTGCACTCATTTAAAAGTTTCGACAATAAGATATTGTTAATTGTCCCTCGATTTAACCTAATAAATCTAACTAACTCCTACATAACATCGAAATGAAGATTTAACAACGCCATTTCAATTCTATTGATATATTTCAACAACGAACAATTATTAAGTCCATCATTCTCATCAATCGTCTTTAGAGCGTTTGTAAGTTTGACGAATAACTTGGAATACTTTTTCACTATCAGAACTCTCGTATCTCCTTCGAGAAGCTATTTGCACGTTAACGCGATTTTTAGAGCGCGTTCGCTCCAAACGAGAAAGATGCTCGCGGATACAAGCGCTCCGGCCGTGAATCAGGTATTCAGACTGGCATTGAGGTTGCTCGGACAGCGTAATCAATATTCGAGGATCGTCCCTCAGCCCGGGCCCTAGATCGACGCCGATGGAATCTCCTCTCGTCGGTCCGGGCGATCCTTTCGACCCTGGTTAGACCGAACTGATAAGAGTTTCCCTCGGTCGTTTCGTCAGGGTGCCCGTCGCGCCGAGGGTGGGCGTCATGGGGCACCATCCCCGGTCGGAACGATGCCGTGTATTAACATACGACCGGTTATTCGGTCATTCGTTTTTCCGGGTCCCATTTATATATATATACATCATTATATACATATGTGTATGCGTTGCGTAGTTTCCAACTTGTGTCTGTCACACTGTATACCACTCTATGTTGAATGAGTCCGAGAGTGACTGCGTTCATGTTGCGTGACTGGAAGGATCGCGTGTGTGATGGGTACGCTTGATTAGTGTGTGTCTACGTCTATTGTTTCTGTAAATGGCGTGCGGAACATTGCGAGGAGCACTCGCGGGGTCTCCGTGCCGGTCCAGCCGGTGCCGGAACGGAGCCGGACGACGGGAAAAGGCGCCGGACGCCTGCCCTCGGTCCCGGATCGCGACCAAAGATCGCGGGCGGACAGTTTTAACGCGCGCGGCGGTCGGAGACGCACGCGATCGCGCTCGCAATAGTAGAAAAATTGCCGTTTCGGGAGGCAATTGCTCGAGAAACGATTGCTCGCGCAATGCTGCGCACGCGCCTTCGTTTTTTGCCCGCAAACGCGGGTTCTGTGACCGTGGTAACGCCCTTTCTTCTCGTTGGTTTTTCCCACACGTAGTACGTTCTGGAGTTCCTTTACACCGCGGTAAGTTGCAGCTCAAGCTCTCGCTAATCGTTCATTATCCAAAAGAAAAAAAAAAAGAAAGAACAAAGTATCATCTATTGCTCGTTTCGCTCGTACATTCATCTTACATGTCTTTCGTATGACCCATTAATATGTAACACTTATGTATTTATATATCGAACCTTTAGCCTTGCCTAACACTGTCATTTACTTTCCTACGTTTCGTTCTCTCTCGTTCTCTGTCTCTCATACTGCCTTCCTTGTTTTTACGCCGTCCATATAACAGCCTGTTATTATTTCTCATTATACGAATATTTGCGTTTCGCCAATGTTTGATCACACTTTGCTTATTTGTCTCTCATCTCTTTCATCCGACACCACCCCCTATTCTACTTCGTCCGCTCTCTTTTTCTTTCTTTCTCTCTCTTTCTCTCTCTCTCTCTCTCTTTCTCTCTTTCTCTCTCTCTCTCTCTCTCTCAGCCTCTATCTACCTGTCTGACCTATCTGTCTTTATTCACTTTCGCGCCCCATGGCCACGCTCGCGTTGATACGTACAGGAGATGAGTCGTCGACAGTTTTTGCGGCGGTTTATCCCGCTCGAGGTAGCGCCGCGTGCGCGCGTCTCTCGTCGGGTTTCCGTCTATATTTTTATAAAAATAGTCGAATACATGTTCGCAAATAAAAACGCCATGGACTTCGAAAAAACATACGAACGAGAAACAATCCTCCCTGGTATTGATATCGAATTTACAACAAATATTCGGTAACCTACTTTTTTAAAATCCTCTTTGTGGAACACTCTCTCTCTTGTTTTGTGTAAAATCCACGTCGGAAATAGATCCAGGGCGAAGTTTAATCATGCAGGAAAAAAAAAAAAAGAAACGGTACGTTCCGAAAATAACTACCACTATCATATCCTGAAGGTTCTGTGTGCCGTTTTTTTCCTTATTACGGCATACAGAATCTTGTTAGTCATCGGGTAATCTCTTATCTCGCTTATGAATATATATACGCTTGTACGCATCATCCGGAGCGTCCGTCCATGGGCAAGAGCTCTTTCACGTATACATTAAAGTCAAACCGTACGAATTGTCTCTGTGTTATCTGTGATATGTCGTCAGATTGTTGTCTCCCCTTTCTGTTATGTCTTGTCTTCTTGTCCCTTAGATGCGTTAGCCATATGACTGATATACATAATAGTATGTTACGAGTCGTGTACTTACGAACCTGGTCTTGTGTTGTTTGTGTTTGCCAGGCTTGCACTTTATGTATACCATCCTGTCGAACTTGTCTTATAGTGAACGTCCTAGCATTTTACACGAACGCTGACCTTATTGCGCGCCTCTTGCGTGAACGACTCTGTTGCGTTCTTTTTATTATATTGTTCCTTTTTCTATCATATATTATTATATATATATATACATACGATACGAACACGAGATAATAACTCAACAAGTGTACATGTTCGCTTTCTGTTCTATCGATCGGATCGGCAAGTATTGCTATAATCGGCACCGTACAGTTCATGATGAAGGACCCCAAAGGACCATCTCTCCTTGTCCCTTGTCTGCGTCTATTATCACCTGTCTAAAATGTGCCAATGACCCCCGACACCAACGCCCTGTGTCTGTCTTTATCCGATATATCCGAGGAAATTGAAACCCACCGAAATGATCACACACCCCAGACCCGACCTTAATCCCGAGCTCTACCTCGTCCGTCTACCCCCCCCCCCCTCGAGATTCCCGCTTTACTAACTTAACGATGCTTCTTTCTGGCGCGGAGTACTTACTGAAAACGACGAAACGTTTGCTAATTCCGCTGAGATTATTTCGACTGAAAATTCGCGGTCTCTCGTGCGTCTTGGTATTTCTCCGAGATCGGTCCTCGACGTCCTCGTTCGCGCGGAGAACGACGGAAGAGGAGGCGGAGAGAGAAAAGGAAAAGACAGATAAACCGAGAGAAAAAAAGACTCACGCAACGACAGAGAAAGAAAATGAGATCGCCGATATGAGATCGCCATATTTGCTCGTAAAATTCGGCGGCAAGAAGGAAAAAGAGGAATAAAAAGAATAAGAATAAGCTAGATTAATAATTCCTATAACGGCGTTAGGTACGCGTCGCGCGTGTGCATTCTCTTCTTTCGTTATTTGCATATAGGTTGACTACGACTGCCTTTAGAGATCTCGGTGCATCATCCGTTTTTCTTTTTCTGTTTATCATTCACTATGGGTTTGGACGTACAGTAGTGACGACTGTGCCTGCCACCTTGCTATGCTCGCACTTGGAGGATCAGCGCCCGCCTCCCCGGCACAGTTTAATGTCCAAGTCACTCGAAACGAAGGCACGATCAGTGATCGAAACCGGCGGGCATTGCCCGACAGTGATATCATATTTCGTTTCTTCGCATACGTAACAATGCGATATCGATCTATATTTATTCGCCACGATAAAAAAGCGATAATTGGCGAAGAGTAAAATGTAGGTAAATTGATGAAAATTTAAATACATTACGTAAAACTCAACTATTTCAGTCTTGCGAAAATAAAAAACATGCATTTTAATATTTTAAAAAATAATCGAATATTGTTAAAGTGTGTGTCTGATTATTTATAATACTAATCCGTTTATATTTTAAACAAAACGATTTGTACTACTTTTATAAATTATTGTGAATATTATACGAGGAATTTTTCTTGGTTTTTTAATTATACGAATAATTATTTAGATAAGACTGTCAAATTAAATATCGATGTTGTTTTAGCGATCTATACGAAATTAATAGAAACGTCATCTATATCCGGCGCACTTTTACCTAACAGCAAGAACTGACCTAGTCGAAGTAATCCCGGTTTCGATCCCTGAAATTTGCGAACTCGATTAATCACGACAATTGGAAACGGCCGATAGTCCTATATGTTGGATGACGGGATGCGACCATCGACGTCGCGCGCAGCGTTGGGGACACGCGTGATCCTCCAAGAACGAATATGCCCCCATACGCAATCCCTTAGAGACTGATAAATATATATATCTATATATATATCTACATACCGAATGCATATAAACGAGTATATAGCTTGTTACACGGCGCGGGGGACCGTAGCTCATGTCGCACGTGCCGCGTTACATTCGTTAACCCGGCCGGCCCAACGGGTGGTGTAACAAGCTATATACACACATGCGACGTGTCGCATATATCTCTTATATACATTATATATATTATCTACGTACCTATATACATCGACCTCATTATATTCAGCACTACACGAATCTCGCTTAAAATATTCAGCTTCAAAACATTCCAAACTTTCTCTCGCCGAGAAGTCCAGCCTCCCCTGGCCTCGTACATCCATTTCTTTCGATTCTCCCTCACGGGTTCCATCCACGAAAAGTTCATACGATACGTCTATTAATATATTACATATTACATATCTCACGCCTACTACGTATCTATATAACATGACTGCATGCCTTTTACTCTCTCACGAGATAATTTCCCTACGAAATTCTCCTTCCACCCCCCCCTCCTTCTCCCGGTTCCTGCGCCCTGGTTCATCCGCTTCGGGACGAAGTATTATGTCTTCTTTTTTTTTCATCTTCTTTTTTTCCTCCCTTTTTTCTGGTCTTTGAAAATCCTGAAAGTCAGTGCCGAGAAGAATGTTCCCGCCTCGCTGCCACCGCGAATGCTGATTTTCGCGAGCACAATGCATCGTCGACGCACTGCGCGTGTTCCGCTGCCCCCGCCGCCGTCCAACCCCACGACCCGATGCCCCCAGCCCTCCCTTTGCCCTCTCTCCCATCCCCGTTCCGTTACCCTCCTTCCCCCTCCCTTCCCCCTCGCCTACGCGGCATTGTTCTATTTGTAAAATCAATTTGTATCGCTCCTCGATTCAGCCAGAGGCATTAGCTTCCCTTGTACGTGGCAACGCGGCCGTCGAATGTCGGCCGAATGGAGTTGCGGATTGTATTGGCAGCGAAGTGAGAATATTGGATCGCATTGAACCGTTGACCGCGGAAGCTGATTTAACAGGCGAAATCGATTGCTCGCGTCCGCGCCCGCGTAAAGACACCGGTCGTGCCACCGACCGAGTAGTACGATCGCATTACCCGTTAATTAGGCGGGCACTAAGTGGGTATTAACAGTGCCGCCGTTGTTCGCGATGGGATCGCAGAAAATTTAATCGTGACATAATTCGAACTTTATAGCCTCGGAATCTTATGAGAGTGTAAAGTGTATTATTGATTATAAAAATAATTAATTCTGAAAATTTGCTGAATCATTTATTACAAAACTAACACTTTATTGCAAAACTGAAAGCCTTGAATGAACGTTGATTACAAAATATCCATGATGGTATCTGCGGTTGAACGTATTCTAAAACGTAATTCCGATATATTTCGTATTTAAGTTACGAACAATATGTTCCGATGGAACGCTATGAAAATCCACGATTTTTACAAAATTGTACCTACCTTCGCTTCAACGCGCGCACCGATCGAAACTGCATTCCGATTGTAGACAGATGTATAAATTGTAGAGAATACTTCGTTTTAAATCAGCATTTCGCGGATTAATGGGTCGACGAAACGATCCCCGCTTCGGTGGACCCCGATATATCTGTAATTTGTAACAGTCGAGTTGCGGTGATGCGAGGCCAAGTTGTTACCGAACAAGGACTCGGAATAGTAGGCATCAGAGTGTCCGTGGACAGGGATTCGCGCTTTGGATTCACCTTGACCAGAACAGACGGATGGTAAGGATCAATAATTCACTTATTTTATCTATTCTTATTTTATTATATGGCGACTCTTATTTAATTATTATAAAGTTATTTAAATTAAAGTTATTAAGTTTAAAATTATAATGATGAAATTAACATGCAGTAATGATTAATAATGATTTAAAATTATTTTGCAAATCTTTATCCGAAATATCTAACACAGTGAAATAGTCTTAAATGTCATTACATCTAATAATGATTTTTAAGGCACTGTATGTATGTGTGTGTATCTGTGTACGGTATGTTTGAAAAAAAGGTCGATTATTATAGTGCGTATTCCAATATTAATTCGCAAGTAAGAGACTTGATTATTTTTTCTTAGCCTACAAAGTTGGACGGAATATCCGAATTTTTTGGAATAATTTCATGAACGCATATAAATGATATAAATGATTTTAAACGTGCATTCTGGTTTGTCCCTAATAGGTATGGTAATGGATAGTAATTCGTATTAATAATTCACCATTACACACATAGAGGCAATTATGCTGTTCGTATTTTAAGCCGATGTAGTTATTACTGTGGCATAATATTATTTTGAAAGAGGGATTTGCACGATTAATGACAGACATCCATAACATAAATGACGGATACCACGAGCCGTAATCCAGATTATTATATATGCATTACCATCGCGCTCTGAGAACATTTAAGAGCGTAATCTGAAATCTGTATCTGCTAATTGCTAATTATACTTGAATGTCGTGCGTGAAATAAGTAGGTCATGCTATCGGGGATAATATATTACTAGCGATAGAAAGGGTTTCGTGGAAAGAGTTGCGCCCGTTGTTACAGTCCGTTTATAGTTATAACGGTGACCAACACTGAACACACACACACACACAAACACACACTTGCGCGTGCCGTCATCATCGCTGTATTAGCATTTGCACATGCGATGAGCACGACATGTAGGTCCGGGGCTGGACGTCCTGCGCGATAGTATCAAGGCTGCATTGTAACGAAAGGGGGAGGGGAAGGGTGGTTGGGGGATGTAGTCGGGAACGACTACATCAGGCGAGGCGTATACAGCAATCCTGGCGAGAATAATTCTGAAACAGGAAAGCGGAGGAGTTGGGATACTAGACCGCATCAAAGCCCGAGCTAATGATGTCGAAAGCTTACTAATTACTCCGTGCAAACCTACGGTACCACGGCTCCGGTCCGTGGCCCTCGATGCATCGCGCGGGGTCGTCGAAATGCGAAATGTTCGCATATCGACCGGATCTACTCGTTACGAAACTTTGTTTCGGGCATTCTCTACCGATTTAATTCATATTAATTCAACGACCGGAACACCGCGCCTACTCGTAATTAATGTTCATAAATGCGAAATAACAAGCGCGTACGTATTATTCTATTCATTGATGCACCTTCAATTATAATATCGTTAAAGCGCGTTACAACTTAGACAAATTTTTCGGCGCGTAACAATTTATACTGTGTACCAACGTGAAATCTGATCTCACATTTTTGCGAATTTTTAATACGCGAACTCTTGAGAGAAATAAAATACGGAAATTTTTCTAGTTCAAAGGATAATCAAGAATATTTCATTTTATCTCAGAAAAATTGCCTCTATAAACGTGTGTATGAAGATTATTTTATAAATAGTTCAATGGGGACGTTAAAAATCTAACTACATTAATAATACAGTAAGTGCAGTGCTACTATAAATCCTGTTAAAAATATGTTCTGCAGTTTTTGTTTCCACGCTCCAACTTTCAGAGGAGCCAGTAATTTTATATGAGGAGGGATATTACTTCATTAAATTCCATAGCGTACTTTTGAACCGGGATACAAACTTAAATAACGAACGGGCTGAAAGGAAGAAATTACAAAGCACGTATAAATAAAAATCTACTTCGCCCATTGTTCACGTCAATAAATAGGACTAGCATAATCATAATAACCCTTCAAGAAAGTTTCAAAATTACACATCGTTAATACTTTAAAAGCTGTTACTGCTCTTTTAATAATTATTTATATCGCATTGAAAGTTTCATGCAACTCCTTTTCATTTTGTTTTTATGAAAACATGAAATTTACTTTATAAAAAAATAAAAAGGTGTATTATTTTGAACAGAAAAAATTTTTGCTGCGTGCGAGCAGTAAGTAAATTTTTTTTGTTTGTATAAGGAAATATCTCAAAATTATGCTAGTTAACGATACGTCGCGCTTGGAAAATTAATGAAACGGGACGAAGAAACTTGCAAGACACGCTGCGTTCCAATTCTAAGGCCTCGTCGGACATTCATTCTCGGATAAAGCGGGGCGCACTATCTTGATCGACCTACGTCGTCGGATCCTTACGTAATACCGGCGGCAATGGAGTTCGAAATGCATTTACGTACTTTGATCAGGTTCGACGTCCTGGTCAATGGCGGAGGCGCCGTGACGCTTCAATTCCAGCGCAGCCCCTTCAAACCCCTCACGAGGACCGTCTTCGTACCGTGGAATCAGATCGTGGTCCTGCCGCCCGTCGTGATGATCCTCAGCAAGGAAGGCGAATCGTATAAATCTAACCAGCCGCCGAGCCCGGCAGTTGGTAAGCATCGAGCCTTGGATATGTATTACGGATTTTTTTTTCCTTTTTTCTTCTTTTTTTTCTCTCTTTTTTTTTTGGTCGGGCGACCTGGTACACATATATCTCATCGTGTTACGTGTCGGATCGCGTTACCCATTAACGTCACAAACGTTTCGATAAACGCGCGTACGTGCTCGATCACCTGAAACCAATCCCCCGGGCGCGCAGGGAAAAGAAGAGATAACACAAGTAGCGAACGCACTTTTTTTTTTTTTCATTTGCAAAAGTTCCATTAAAACGGGTCTACGTCTACGTAATTTATTATTGCTCTTCACGACCACGGATCGGATCGGATCGCGCGCCCGTTACCCGTGGGCGATCCTCACAGGGAGCCCCTCGTTTTCAGAGCTGTTCAACGTGTGTGCCGTCTTTGTTCCGTCCTTGAGTGTTATGCGTTTTTGAGTTTCTTATTATTTACGGAGTACAATATAATAGGCTTCCCAGGGATTTCGATGGGACTCTTTAGCGAGCACGGCCCGTGCTTGGAGCACGATCACGAGACACTACGGCCAATTATCGTTAGCACGTGGATGCCGGAGAAAGTTGGCGGTTTGCCTGGGAAGAGCTTGGTCTTTGCTGAAAGTCAAGTAAGTTTTCTACCTCGCAAACGATTTAATGTCATTATCACGCGCTCGTTGCTTTAATCAAAATAAAATCTCGACTTCGCCGTCATAGTTTGGATGAAATTTTTACGTAATTATCTTGGTGACCGATCTCAACGCGTCTGAGGGGCAAGCACAGAGAGAGCAAAATTTTCAAATAAGAGAGTTAAATAACGAATCTCGTACGGCAAATAATAAATCGCTCATCGTGTCGCGTGACAAGCCGGAGGGAAGCACTAAAGGACACTGCACGGATGCAACAATATTTACGATGAAGATTAACAGTAACTGTGTGCGACCGCATTAACGCAACGTTAAACATCGCTTGCAGATCGTGCAGGAAAGCATCGCTATTCCGGGCTCCAATCTCCACTTGATGTATCAAAGCAGTCAGGCTGCGGGCTATCTCTCTACCGTGAGGATGCAACTGACCGGGCCGTTCATTCCGAAATCGCTGACGCACGTACACGTGCATGTGGAGATCGAGGGCTCGCTTCACACGAAAACGTACGAGGCCGACCCGAATCTGACGCACACATTTGCCTGGAACAAGAGGAACGTTTACAAGCAAAAGGTATACGGTGTGGCGCAGGCGAGGATCTCGATCGGCTATCAGCATTCCACTTGTCCGTCGGTGATATGGGAGACGCAGACGGCCACTTTGCAAGGATTCGACGTCGATATCTCCGATATCGGCGGCTGGGGACTCGACATCCATCACCATTACAACTTCCACGAGGGGATCCTGCAGAAAGGCGACGGCTCTACTCTACATTTCAAACAGTATCCGCGCACTGTGAAAGTGGTAATGGGCACCGGCCTCCAGAGGAGCTTGGTGTGTCAGAATTGCGACGGTCTCGCCAAGGATGCCAGACTCCTGACGCCGGTGGCACTCGCCAGCGGACCCGACGGCAGCATTTACGTCGGAGACTTCAATCTCGTACGCAGAATCACGCCCGAAGGAAAAGTTTACACCGTCTTGATTTTGAGGTAATAATTAATCTTTGTGCTTTCCGCAGGGTTTGGTCGAAAATTCAGCGATGCTTCAAATCTAATCTGAACACATGTTCCCATCTTTTGCAGCGCGACTCAAGTGGCGTATCAGTACTACCTATGCATCTCGCCGGCTGACGGGCACTTGTATATCAGCGACCCGGAGAAACATCAGATATTGAAAGCCCTCTCGTTGGAACAAGTCCAAGATCCCAGCATTAATATCGAGCCCGTTGTTGGAAGCGGCGAGAGATGTATCCCAGGTGACGAGGGCCACTGCGGTGACGAAGGTCAAGCTATCCATGCAAAATTGGCTCATCCCAAAGGTAAAATTGAAATATATCATTGTTCATTTTCTCGAAAGACGCTTGCCCGTTATTAAAATAATTTCGAATAATCGGAAAGATAATTTTACAAAATGGCAAATATATATGTACTGCAAAAGATTTGTAAATTAAAGGATCACTTGCAAAATAATTTTTGAAAAATGTGATCTCTGTTGTGATTTACAGGAATCGCAATTGCGGCCGATAAAACGATGTACATTGCCGATGGAACGAATATTCGCGCTGTCGATCCTCGAGGTATCATACATACGCTCGTGGGACACCACGGTCATCATAATCACTGGTCACCCGCTCCCTGCATCGGAGCCATTCCCGCGCATCAGGCTCAATTACAATGGCCCACCGGATTAACCCTGAGCCCATTGGACGGATCCCTTCACTTCATCGATGACAGATTGGTTTTGAAACTCACCAGCGACCTGAAGGTGCGCGTGGTCGCTGGCACGCCTCTTCACTGTACCAGCAACGCAAACAGCAACAGCAACGACAACGACGAGCTTCCGAAACTGAACTCGTCGATAACGACGAATCCGAAGAAACCGGACGAGGTCTTGGGATCGGTGTTGGCCGTCGGTTTCAGTCCAACCGGCGAGCTGTACATAGCGGATCGCGATTCTCATCGTGTAAACTCCATCAGAATTGTCGATTCTTCCGGGAAAATGTCGCACTTCGCGGGTCAACAGCAGGATAGATTGCGCGGCCAATGCGAGTGCAACAATACTACACCCAGCACCAAGGACTTGGACACGTGCACCTGCACGGACGATACCAGCAGCACCGAGACGCTCCTCTCGTCGAACGCCAAGTTCACCGCGATATCCGCTCTGGCGGTTTCGCCGGACGGTGTCCTGCACGTGGCTGATCAGGGCAGCCTTCATATCCTAGCTCTCCAGCCGTACCTTCCGAACCACGACGAGAACGGGGAGTTCCGTATCCCGTTCCCGCCTTCAAACGAGATCTACGTGTTCAATCGCTACGGCCAACACATCTCCACGAAGGACTTGACATCCGGAAAGACCCGCTACTCTTTCCTGTACAGCAAGAACACGAGCTTCGGCAAGTTGTCGACGGTGACGGACAGCGCGGGCAATAAGATTCAATTCCTGCGGGATTACAGCAGCGTCGTTAGCTCCATCGAGAACACTCAGGATCATAAATCCGAATTGAAAATCTCCGCGGTTGGGTTCCTGGAGAAATTGTCCGAACGCGGCAGGGCGGAGATCGCTCTGGGTTACGATGGCTCAACCGGTTTGCTCACCAGTCGATCAGGAGTAAGTTGAAAATATTTATTATTAATTTTTTTTAAATAAGAAATAGTTTTCATTTATTGATTAAATATTTTCTCTCTTCTTTACTTAATCATATACGATGAAAAAAATTTATAAACTTTTTTATGAATAAATTATTTCTTGTTAATGAAACGCAATATGTTTTAAAATTTCAGGGAGATGAAACGTACATATACAATTATGACAGTCTGGGACGTGTCACCGATGTAATACTGCCGACAGGCGAGAAATTGAAATTATTATCGGACTTATCTGACGACGAAGGTCTGTTAGTTAAAGTATCTGCTCCGTTGCAAGCTTTATCGAAAGGTGATAAACAGCGAATTGTAGAGTTTGAAATGAGAAACGAAAAGTCGAAGATGTTGACAATCACTGACGGTATGTATTTTTTAATTCTATTTAAATTAATAAATTAGAAATAATTTCTGTTTAATTATTTTATCACTATTCTTTCATACAAATATATTTCAATTTCCTCGGAGATATCATTAAAAATATGAAAATTACTCTAATGTATCCCCTAATTTTTTATTTACAGGCACCAAACTCTTGAAAGCTATCGCTTTTACGAACAGCAGCTTGGAAGTGCTTTTGCCTGGTGGTGGTAGAGTACTGAGTGCAGCGACGACGAAACATCCGTTACTGAAGCCGGCTTTGCCGGTGGAAGCGGAGATGCTGCCCATGTGGAGCTATCAATTGATGTCGTTGGGCGAATTAACGAACACCATGACGACGACGTACAACCTGGTCGGAGAAGTTAGCCATCCTCAGCAAACGCTCAACAGAGAGATCTGGGTGAACGACACGCGAGTGATAAGCGTCGAATTCGAACAGGCGTTCAGCCGCGAGACGTTCTACGACAAGGCGGGAACTCCCCTACTGACGGTGACCTTCGACCAGGCCGGACTACCCTTGGTCTGGCAACCGTACGAGCAGGGTCACAATCTCAGCATCTCGTACGATCGATTCAATAGGATCGACAGTTGGAAATGGGGCGCCTCCGACGAGTCATACGGCTACGACCGACACGGCCAACTGGCAGAAATCACCAACAGCAAGGACGGCACGAAACGATACACCTACAACGACTTCAACATGCTGTCGAAGATCACGCTCGCCAGCAATAGGCAGTTCTCGTTGCAATACGACGACGACGGTGGACTACGACATATCATTTTACCGTCGGAAACCAAGCATTCCTTCTCCTGCCAGGCTTCCCTCGGCTTCCTCAGGGTGACGTACACTCCACCCGGCAGCACCAGAGCGTATCTGCAGCACTACAGTCACGACGGAAACCTGCTGCAAACCGTATTCCCGGGAGACGGAGCTCGTATCGTCTACAGATATCACACCTCGGGTCAATTGGCGGAGATCGTTCACGGCGACGGCAAGAGCGAGATCAGATACACGGAGAGCGGACTACCTTCCGAGGTGATACATTCTGAGAGGGACGTGGAGTACAAGTGGGATTATCAGTATAGCGCGGGTCTACTGGTGGAAGAGCGCATAGATTTCGGCGCGAAGACTGGCCTGAGCAACGCCAAATTTACATTCGAATACGATTCGAACTTCCGCCTGGTCGCAGTGCAAGGTAGAATAGGCGGCCAGACGCTGCCGCCTCACACTATGGCTTACAGTCCGCGATCGGGTACGCTGGAGCAGATCGGACAGTTCAAGGTGACGAGGCCGCAGACGAACGAGACGACCGTGTTTGACGGCACCGCGCTGTTCTCGCGCACCACGGACGACCGTTTCCTGGAGACTCAGGTCACGGTGACGATCCATCGAATGGAGGTGTTCAGGATGGAGTTCACGCACGATTCGCGCGGCCGCATCAATCAGACGAGAACGTACACGCGCAACGTCGCCGTTAACACATACACGAACGTGAAGAATTACACGTGGGACTGCGACGGCCAGTTGACCGGCGTGGAGGCGCAGGAGCCGTGGGGTTTCAAGTACGACGCCAACGGTAATATGCTGTCGCTCACATATCGCGGTAACACGATCCCGATGGAGTACAACGCCATGGACCGAATAGTCAAGTTCGGCGAGGGCCTGTACAAGTACGACAATCGAGGTCTGGTGGTGCAAAACGCGAGAGAGGAGAGATTCAATTACAACGCCAAGGGTCTCCTCGTGCGTGCCACTAAACGCGGCCGCTTCGACGTGCGATACTATTACGATCATCTCGATCGCCTGGCCACGAGGAAGGACAATTACGGCAATGTCACGCAGTTCTTCTACAACAATCAGAAACGGCCGCACGAAGTGAGCCAGATATACAGCCCGCGCGACGGTAAACTGATGTCGCTGGTCTACGACGACAGGGGACATCTCATTTACGCACAAGTGTACCGGCACAAATATTACATCGCCACTGATCAGTGTGGTACGCCCATTATGATCTTCAATCAGTACGGCGAAGGCATCAGAGAAATTATGCGTTCGCCCTACGGCCACATCGTTTACGATTCGAATCCATATCTTTACTTACCGGTCGACTTCTGCGGAGGACTTCTGGATCAGGTAAATAAGAATTTCATTGTGTCATATTTAATAATTAACAAAATAAAAAATCCTGGACAAAGAAAATAATAAAATTTTCATTTAGAATTAAACGCAATGATAATATCTGAAACGTTCTTCGCTGTATTTCGTATTTTAATAGTATGATCTATTTATAGGTCACCTCCCTCGTTCACATGCCAAACGGTAAGGTTTACGACCCGCTGATAGGCCAGTGGATGTCGCCGCTCTGGGAGAACGTTTTGGATCGCGTGGACAAGCCGACGCACCTACATCTTTATAGATTTAACGGAAACGATCCGATCGACGTCAGACACACGGACAGACCAAGTCAACCAACCGGTAAATTCACAATATTATCGATGAACCGATTACGCTCTATCCGATTTCCATCAATACACATTCGGCGTATCTCTATCTTCCAGATCACATATCATGGCTGTCGCATCTCGGATACGACCTGAAGAGTTTAGCGCCACAGCTATTCCCAGACGAGCTGCCGGAAAGCCTCGTCCCGCGAGCGCTCGGTCCGGGCACCTCTATTTTCGGTAAGAAGAAAAGAACGCGCAATCTGGGCGTCCAATCCGGTTTCCTCGCGCACATCGCCCAGAGGCATTCGGGCGACGCGGTGAGCCTGTCCGCGCCACCGCGATCGGCCTTGAAGAAGGACACGAGCGAGTTGATACCCAGCCGCCTGGGTGCGGCGTCCGATCCGCCGTTCGGCAAGGGTATCCTGGTGTCGAGGACCGCTGACGGCCAGGCGGTGGTGTCCAGCGTGCCCAGCGCTAACGCTATTTACGGCGACGTGTTCACGTCCGTGTTCAATCGCTCGTACTTCCTGCCGTTTACGTTCGTCGTGCACAGCGCGCAGCAGGACGCCTTCTACTTCGTCAAAGAGGAAACCTGGCGCGCCAGCGAGGATCGTGGTCAGCTGAAACGATTGGGCGGTCAGGTGAACACGACGTTCCACGAGAACGAGAACGGCAGCGGCAGCAGCTCGCTGATAGACGTGAAGATACACGGCGCCAGCTACGTGGTAAACTTGCGCTACGGTACCACGGCGGAGAAGGAGAAGCAGAGGCTGCTGCATCACGCGAAAGCGACCGCCATCAGGAAGGCGTGGCACCGGGAACGCGAGGCCCTCAAAACGAACACCCCCACGTCCGTCGAGTGGATGGTCGCCGAGCAGGACGAGATACTGAAGGTCGGCCTCGCGTCCAACTACGAGGGCGAGTATATACACGACGCGCAACAGTATCCCGAGCTCGCGGAGGACCCGTACAACGTCAGGTTCGTGAAGAAGGCCGTCGACCAGTCGAGCAAGAAACGACGCAGGAGGAGAGGCGCGCCGTCCTGTAAGCTCTGGTGGTTAGACAAGATGTGCTAGAGCGATTTGAGAGCCTCAGTCGTATTGTCCCCCTCGCGCGGGGACATTGTCCAGTATCGAAGCCGCGGGACTTTCGAGTGAGCGACACCGAGAGGTAGGGAAATAGAAAGAGAAAGAGACACCGGAAACGTGAAAGTCGACGAAGGGGGTAAAAGAAAAAATGCCGCTGTAGCACGCCGTAGCGCAGCGTCCGATATGTATATGCACGCGCATATATATATATAAACGTACTGAACACTATCAAAAAGTTTTATACCAAAGTCTATTTGTGTATTTCAAAAGATGCCAAAAACACTATAACGTTATATTATATATATAATAAATATATATATTATACCACGAGGTATAGGGTACGTAGGGTGTAAGAGCGTCAAGCGCACGCGGGAGGAACGCGGGTTTCACCGAGTATTCGCTCCACGGACCAGCTGCGCGACCGATCCGCGATTGGCAAATCCGCGAAAGCCTTAGATAAACGACGACAGGGGAGGAAAGGGTGAGAAAATCGGGAGAGAGAGAGAGAGAGAGAATGTGCACACCGGATCCCGGACCACGCGAGCCTGGAAGGGAAGGAGGAACATTGCGAAATTCCCTCTGAGAGTTTTAACGCGACGTAGACGCAGCTAATTACCAGCTTGCAGATTTGAATTAAATTCCAGAATGTGGAGTTTTTCTGATTACGTTCGTGCGAGGCAAGGCTCGTGCCGGCAAGCTCGTGGAGCTTGCGCTCGAGGCCTAAAGTAAATGATGGATACCGTGGTACCGCGCGTGCGAATCGTGCACAATACACCGCATTGATACAAGGTAATTATAGTTATATCGCGAAGAGTGAGGAGAAAAAAGGAGAGAGAAGAAAAAAAATGGGTAACAGGCCATTCGTAGTTGAGAACTGACGAGACAGGGAGAGAAAGAGAGAGAGAAAGAGAAACTAGTCAATACATAGCTTTACATTGACATAGCAGCCTTCTTCGGCGTAGGATAAATGCGAATCGGGAGGAGCGACGGTGTTGACGACGACGTTAACGTTAGCCATGTGTACGTTTGCCCTGCCAGCGATATTTTAACGTCGTACTTAGAAAAAAAAAAGATCAACGGCGGGTGTGACGCAAGTACGGTATTCGCGCGGTGACGAATACGAATGCGAAAAGCGGCAGCGGGCGCCAAAAAACGAATACGGAAACGCGCGTAACGTGTCTCAACCATGAATGGCCTCGGCGAGAAGCGGCAGATAATTGAGAAAGAGGAACCCCGGGGAAGGGAGGGGGGGGAGTTAAAAGCGATCCTCGTGGTGTCCTCGAGGAAGGACTATAGGAGCCAGCGATCGTGCGGACTTGATCGCGCGGTCTCGAGCTTGAATTCCGTTCGCGGCTTTAGGCAATTAAGGACGAGACGAATTTGTATTATAAAGTGGTGCTTTTCTTGTACGGCGGAGCGAATGCGTGAGCGAAAGAGCGACGGAGTGAGAGGATCAGCCGATGATCGGTGCGAGGATGAGCGTGCATGAGGTCGTCGAATACCAATAGCGCGACTAAACGTATTTTTAACATGTGGATGTGTCCTATCCGTAGCGTAAGCGTTCCCGATCGTCGCCGATCGGTGATCGGTCTGTAATTGCATGCGCCGTGGCATGCGCGCGAATGTGCGGGAAGACAAGTCGCTCGGGATCGACGGTGGGCTATCCCTCCGACTGATTCTCGCGTGATCGCGGAGGGAGATGCGAGCCGCGGGCGTGCGAGCCGCGATGTGTCTGCGTGTGTAAACCGGAAACGGTGGAAATTCGAGAGAGGGATAAACTCATTATCGGTAAAAGTAATACGTATACAATATCGCATATTTGTGCTTGCTGGATATGAACGTAACGGACGTTAAACTATGTTTCCTTACCGAGAGTACTAAGTATGTGTAACCAAAATTACTGCCCGCCAAGTAACGATCGTTTTCGCCCTGTGTATGTGTATGCATGTGTGCATATATGTATGTATGTGTGCGTACGTGCGCGCGCGCCGATCGCTCGCGCACAAAAGAGACCCATATACGTGCATCGAACCATCCTTAGCGTCGGAAATCCCTCTCACATTATCACCCGCCAATCTTCCCTCTTCTCCCTCATTCCCCATTTCCCTCCATCCTCCAATCCCATGAAGATTCCAGATCTATCGATTTGTCGCACGTATTGTTTGTTCGCGTCTCCACGAACGTTCGTACCCGCCATTGATATTTTGCATCGCGGCTTTAGAGACGGTGCCGTTTATGGATAGTTAGTGGCACAACGACATTGCTGTCTGAAATAGATGAAGAATAAAAAAAATGTTATCTATATGCTGAGTGTATAAAAAAAATATATATATATATAGAGCGAGAGTGAGAGAGTGAGAGAAAAGAATGAGAGAGATATAGGGAAGCTTCGTAATGTATTTTTAACTCGAGCGAGTGTTTAGACCTAAACTACCCAACAACGCAAAATTGTAAAAGACTTCCGAAGGATGTCCAAACGATGTCTGAAAGATTAGGCCGTCTTTACGGCTTCTTTTACGGTGCCGTGTTGCCCGGGCAAACTTTTAAATCGCGGTCCAAAACGAGCTCCTCCTGTCGGAGGCACGCGCGCTCGCACGTGCCGACGAGGCCGCAAGGGCGATCCTTTTTGTACATTTCACGTCCTCGTTCGCACGCGCGAAACGACAAACGCGAAAACGGAACTCGCAAAAATCGCGCCGTGAATATCTACATCCTCGCGCGTGTGTTCATCATCGCGTACTCTCGCGGACGGCCGCGCGAATAGGCTCGATCGTCGAGCCGCATTCCTCCCTCGCTTATCTAACAATAAGCGTAACCGACACAATCGTATTTCGCTTTATTTTAACTTCATCTTTAGAAGGCACTCGTATATGAAAACAGCGAAAATCTTGAAACTCATTAATTAAATCTCAAATAATTTACTCTGACTGTTGAATTCAATTTCTTAGAAGCAACCGCTTTAGAATCGCGTTTAAATTCAATAATAATAATAATAATAATAACGAGCCCTCGGCTACATCGAATAACTCTATCCAGTTAACTGTAATAATGAGGCAGCTATCGGTCTCTCCTTTCAGCAGTGGTGGTAATTTCGCGAGGGTGATGATATTGGAGGGTGATTTCCGTTAATCTTCCGAGGGCTTCTGCTTTCTCTAGATAAGCGAAATAGGAGTGCTTCGACATTCGTGCACATCTAAACACTCATCGTTTCCCCTTTGGCCAGCCAACCTCCCCCTCACACCTGCTCCCCCACTGCCCATCATACACTGCCCTACACACTCTTGATCTTTAGCCGTATTATCCACTGTTGGATCCGGCAACGGTGCGTTCAAGAAGAATCGACTATTTTTTAAATATCACGTGTCAAATTAACGAGCGGGCCAGGTAGCCGCGATATTACGTGTCGTACGGGTGGGGTCCTCCCCCAAAAAACTCGACTCGAGGCCCAAGGCCCGATCCCGTCTCACGCGATTATAATATTAGAAAAAAAATTCACTCTCTAACTTCCGTGAAGTTTCATCTCTCGTTTTTGCGAACTCGTTCCAGACTCGTTCGTCCCCCGCGACCGCTCGCGGGGGATCGCGACAAACTCCACGTACTTCTCTAAATAAATAAATAAATAAATAAAAAAAAAGAAACGAAGTAGAACGCGCGAAGAAATAATGATTATGTGAGATAAATAAATAAATAAATATAAATATATATGAATATATTGAGAAGATATATATATATATACATACACGAGAGGAGCTAGAGTGGCCAATTATAACAGTAAACCGTCGATCCACGAATTTGCGGCGCGATTGGTTTCTCGAGCGCGACTCCACGCCGAAAAAAAAGGGGGGGAATAAAAGAATTCGCGATTCCGGAAAACGTGACGAAAGTTGAGGATGCGAGAGCGATAAAATGTAGAGCGAGAAACGAAAGAAGGGAAGAAGGAGAGCGTGAAAATGAGAGATATCGAAGATTTAAGCGAGCGCGAAAGGCGAACCGGAAGAGTCAGCCACGCTAAAGCTACTACGACCACTACCTTAGATAGATTACGCTACTTTGCCGCTGATCTAATTGTTTACTGTCACGTGTTGCTGTAAACCTAAACCTAACGATACGATATTATATATATTTTATTTATATAACCTAATCAACTGTATTTATTGTAAATAGTCACGATGTTTGCTATGATATAATATATCTGTAATTGGATGGGAACCTGCCTGAAACTGCGCCCAAAAGCCCCGACCCCCATTCCCGCAGCTATAGATCCCGGTATACATCCCGTACACACGAGTGCAGGATGTATACATATATATATAAAGCGTATACACACGTACAACTGCATACACACATACACGTCATACACACAAAAAAAAACGCGGTGTCGACTGCCGCAGTCGTTTAGACGATAATTTAGACGAGAGGATTAATGGAGAGAAAAAGACAGGTACATTTACGCGCGTTGAATTATCATTACGTCAATATATTTCGTATCGCATCGACAGGCAATCGATTTCATGTAAGACGCTCCATTTTATCGTAGGGAAAGGAAAGAAAACGGAAGAATTTAATCCCTCCCTTTCCACCCCTCCCTCCCCATCCGCTATTCGATCAAACATACCGCTCCCAACCTTTAATCCTTCCGTAAACGAGAGCGTTACGATGATCACGAGCAATTTTTATAAATGTATTTTTTCGCCTCCCTCTTCTCCTCCGCGTGTTGAAAACACACCCCACATTTCGATGATCATCGTAGAAGCGCCGGGAGTGAGTAATTTACGGACTTTTCTACTTGAACCACTGCCACGCGGCAGACGGCGATCCAACCAGCATGTCCAATAAATTAACTTACAATATTACTATCTTAAGATACAATATATTAAGTGTTTTCAGAAAATATATGATCTATATATGATAATAAAAAACGGGAAAACGTTTTACCGGACTTATCATTCAATTCACTTCTGAGTTACGTTTACCCACGTATGTCTTCACGAATAGATCGCTTCGTCCCTCGTTAAACGATTCGTCTTTAATCCCTTTCGTAAACCAAACGCTAAAAGAACGCTGATCAACTGAAATGTGAATAATTATTCTTTTTCTTATTTTATTAAATGATATGGCAGAGACAAATAGGAAGGCAAGTAGTGAGATTTAATTTACCAGAAGTGGAAATATGATAAGCGTAGAAATGGAGGCAGTCTGGACGTGCGATTTTAACAGCATTATAGCCTCTCTTAAGCATCCGGATTTATAAGACACATCCTCTGTGATATTCAGGCACTGAAAATTATTATGTAGTTGAAGTTTGGTCATTATTGGAGCGAAAATGATAAAAATCTAAAAGTCCAAATTTAACAGATGTGTAAAAATAAATATATATACGTAAACTAAAAATCCAATTTAAATAAACATTTTAAAAAATTAAAATAACCATCATAAAACAAGCAACTCCTACAAAGTGATGATTCTTGCGTTTTGCGCCAAAATACGAGGACAACCTTCAAGATGCTTGGCGATTAAAAGAAAATATAATAGTTTGAGATTAGAGGCCCGGAAATGTTAATTCTGTTTAATCAGAAATATCGTCACATAATTGCATGTATGCGACCAAAATTCCTGACGGTTAATTGTTCGTTTTATGCCAAAATATGAAAGCAACCTTCTGCATCTTTGACGTTAGAGAGAAATAGTTTTGTGATAAATAATATACTCGATTTTTGTTTAAATCATAATACTGAATTTGTATTAAGTTCTCCTTTTTCGTGTTTCGTGCATAAACATTTATTTAAAAATTTTACTGCATATTTATTGCTAAGAAAATGCTATAAATATATTATTTTAGTATATAGTTATGTGTACTTTTTTCTATTATTATTTTGTTTTTACTAAACACTATATCTGTATTAAAGGAAGTTTGAAATTACGCGATATAATGTAAACTCCTAAATTTCAATTACATAAATTGTTCTATTAAATCGGGGATTCTCTATTCTGCGTTAATTGCTATTTATTTCCAAATTAACGGCTTCAATGGTTGTATCCGTTTTATATAAATTTGTCTCATTGATATTAGATATATTTATTTAATAATTATATAAATTGCTAATACAGATTAAAGTAAATTAATAATATTAATGAATTAATAATAATATTAATGAATGTATTCGGTAATTATGATTATGGTCATCGAGTAATTACGATGTTTTATTGGATTGTTCAACTTTTTTAGCGCGTATATATCAATCGTCTGGGAATTATCTACTGATAAAGTCGCAAGCAACACAATTACGTTCAAAATATTGTTTAATAAACATATAAACTGAAAATTAAATGTTTAAAATTTGATACGATTTTAAACCATTTAACAATAAACATAAAAACGTTTCATAAGACGTTCATAACGTTAATTTTATTAAAATTTTTTTTTTGCTAGCTTAAAGTATCGTTTTCATATAAGACATATCGACAGTTTAATAAACATATGTACTTAACATTAATAACTTTTATTTAATGTTTTTATACACCATAGAAATGTTTCGGCTAAACGTTTTTAAATGTAAATTATCTGCTTGGAAAAAGTTTATTGTAGGATACAGTTGACCGGCTGAAAATTATGATGAGCTGTCGTGACTTCCGAGAAATAGGAAAAAGAGAAAATTCCCAAGAAGAGCAAGAGGGATCCGGATATTATTAGGCGCGACCGGATGTGCGCTGCGCGTGAACGCAACTAACTCATTTCTCGGCATGAAAAAGAAAGTAACATGCTCTAAGTTCAGCTACTTGGCAGAAAATGGATCAAGACGCGGTGAGTACTTCCACAACTAAGAGAACGTGGATATAGCTTTCAGAAAGCTATTTTAATATGTTCCCTAGTTATTTAAACTACTTATCTTCATTTAATTTAATTACGTCATATTTAATTACATATGTAATATTTCTATTTCTCCTTCCATATATACGTATTAAACGAGAGACTATTTTGTCGTCAAAGATTCTTTTAATAATAAGCTTCTTTAAATTTACCTGTTTAATTGGTGCAGAACAGCAACTTTGCGGAATGTTCTTTTGATGATCCAACCAATCCTTGGATGATCTAATTCCGCAGCATTTTAACTGAAATGTACTACTGTTAAATAAAAATGCGAAGAACGCGATCAAAAAATATGATACTGTCATGAAATTAATATTTATTTCAGTTCTTACATATCTATGAGTATTGTCCCATGCTTCCGTAGCCCTATTCGAAGATTGATAACTCTTCATAGAATCGATCATGTCATCCCGAGTTTTTCTTGTAATCTCATCGAAAAACGGGAAACTCATCGTCAGGTATACAAATACAGCGCATAGAGCGATTGACTGGCACATTAAATACTGAAAGATAAAATACGTGCCATGTGTGATAAAAAAAGATTGCTACCAAATTTTTCATTTTACGTTTAATTTTCCAAGTAGACCGATTATACATATCTTAAATAGAAAATATGCTTTCAGAATACATTTTTTACTTTATTAAATTCAACTTACGAAAATCATGAGATATTCTCTTTTCATCGCGATTCCTATGATTCCAGTAAAAGTAACGAGAGACACAAACACTCCTAGAATTAATATAATTGTCATGAAAAGCTGCTCGCCGAGCAATCTAGATGTAAAGCTTGCATCCGTCAACATCCAGATAGATATCATTATCGCCGTTATACCTGCAAGCTTAATAAAAATTTCGAAATTAACTCATTCTCATCTTTAAACCTATATAAATTATGTCAGATGAAACATCCGTTTCTGTAAACTCACTAGGGCTACGCTGTTAAGCAACAAAAAACAGAATTTGAGACATTTCTCCGGTAGCCACTTGTAAAACAGGTTCGAAGGAGATGTACCGATATTTTTGGAACTCTTTTCCGTCGACATGGTTTCATCGGTTTCAGTAACTTCATCATCATCTGTATCTGTTTCCATTTCGGTCCCTTTCTCGCCCATCACACCCAGCCAAAATTTCCGCCAATTCATTTAATTACGTGTGTTTTGTGAACGGGTCATGTATACAGAATTGGCTTATTTATACGCAAGATTCTTTAAATTTGACATTTCGAGCTTAACTCCCTGATTTCCTGGCGCATGCGTTGTTGTTATAAATAATGCGCATGTATTTGAAAGAAGCATGCGTTTGATTGGAGATAACCCATAGAAATATATGTTTGACGTACACTATACATGCGACAACTGGCAACGCATGTATGGAAATCCAAGGATAATTGTCATGTTATCACCCTGGCGAAAGTAAAGAATAAAAAAGAGAAGCGTAAGCAAACGTTCTAGGTATAAATTGGAATAGTGAAACGTAAATTAATCTATATATACGCTTCGGTCTAGAATGTTTGCTTATAATATTAATTTCTATCACTCTCTACATTTGACTTACGCTATATTTTTATTTTCGCCAGGACAGCAATTTATTGATCATTTGCGAGACTTTATAATACGATTGTATGATTTTGTGACACGTCGTTTAAATAATTCAAACATTATTTTATAAAATAATAATTTCGTATAATTTAGATGGTTAGCTCATAAAAATAATGTTAATATTTTAATTATAATATTATATTTTGATGTGTCTCAGGTAGGTACGTATGTACAATAGGCTTCTCTCTGATGTAAGTATATTTTCAATATAATAAATGTTTAAAACTGCATTTCTACTGTCATAGTTCGTTTCACTTATTGTCTGTCTCACAATTGGAACGTGGAAAGCGCTGTTTATAAATATTTTGTGTAGTATATTACTTCCCTCTTCTATTTACGTGTAATAATATATTACAAAATTCACATACATACACGTATATATATGTATGTGTGTAATATACACGATAACGTACAGTATGTATAAATATATATTACGTACGCGCGTAAATTCGTAGTTCCGTTAATAAATACATAGCAACTAAACCGTAATATACTATACTTATACATTAATTGAGGATTAACGCGAGTCTCGAATACGTTTTTTTTGGAAAGATCATTAACCTTCAATATATCATCGACGTGACATCGAGAATCTCATGATTTGTAGCGATGCTTGTTATGCGTGTGATTCACACATGTGACGTGACGACAACGATCGGAGAGACAGGCGAGAGGAGAAGCTTTGAACTACGCTCAGTCTTGGTTACGTAGTGATGGTCCGATATCTTTCTGGAGTGACTCTTCTTATGCTTAACCGGCTCGGTTATCGCGCCGTTGTTGTCCGATAGAGGCAACTCCTTCACCGACTTCCGATCGCGGCCGACATTCTTCTCGTTCTCCGAGCCCAGCGACGACTCTCGGTTCGACTTCCGGCGGCTGATTCTGCGCTTCCAGCGTTTCGCGCAGGTGCTTCCTCTTCATTTCCCAGAGTTTCTCTTGCCGCGTGACGATTTCGAAATATCTACAGAATTGCGAACGATTAATTAACGCTCAAATTTCCAGGTAAATCCAATAGCGATAGATTTCAACGAGGTCGTACGGGATTATATGAAATCATATAGAATTACTTGAGAATATGTGAAATTATTGGAAGGGACAGTGGAGTTGCAAGATATAATATTTGTCGAAGGACATTGGATTTAGCTATCATTGGATTTACTATCATTGAAAGATTTTTAGAAGAGCCATTACATAACGATTACCTATTACAGAAGTCCCCGTTGGATGGCTCTTTCAACCGCCAACCCTTCTCCGAATCGAATGTTCCGAGCTCCGTAAAAATCTGATTAATCTCTTCCGGCGTCAGCTTGATGACGGACAAAATCTTATCGCGACGGAGAAACTGCTGTTCGGTAAACAGTGATAACTGTAAAAAAAAAAAACATAAAAACATGTTTTATATATTATATATATGTAATTCTTTCATATATTTGAAGTTACAAGCTTCTTTCACTCGCTCGCATAGCAACTTTGGCAAGTAATCGAAATTAATCGCACAAATAATGTCTTAATAAAAATATAAAAGACGTAAAAATAGATTTCACGCACATTTAATGTAATAACGATCGAAATATATATAAATACAAAAGTAGTTGGAGTGTAGTATATTTTAGTGCGAGGTCCGAAAATATCCAGAAGGTAGAATTAGATTTGAAAATATGATCGTTTACTATAAATTTACTATAAATTTTAAACACTCACAATGTAATCACGAGCTTCGCACATAAACTCGGAGTTGCTGTCCGGAGGGGAAAGGCCTTCCTTGGGGTATATCAGTTCGCTTTTCACAACCCAATTACCCCGCACCAACGTAGCTACTTGCTGCAAATACTTGAGTGCCGTTGTCGTATCGTGCTCCGGCAATAGAATTTCGCATAATTTTTCATAGGATATAACTCTCACTGTAAAAAGATAAAAAAAATAGATTTGTTTTTATCAAATCCCAACGTGATATAAAAATCTGTTTAATTTATATCGATAATTAACATTTATTCTAACATATAAAAAAAACTAACTTTTATGTTTCTAAGCGTATAGCATTAAAAAGATAAAAGATGTAAAAAATGTTTTAAACAAAAAGTTTCATGGCTTCAAAGATATTTCAACTTTATATGTATATTTTTACATTTTCCCGTCTTTCTCTCAAGCGTTATTTTCAATGCTTCTCTCACCTTGTTTCATGATTATCTTGATTTGATCCAGCAAAGGTAAAGTCATGATATGATGAAGATCTGTCTGATCCTCGGAGGTGGATTGCGAGTAGCACTCGTCAGGTAATTGCGGTACCAATAGATACAGATATTTTAACGGAGGCAAATTCAGGGAATTTGCCGATTCCTCGCCCGACGGGCACAATATCTCTATCCGTGTCGACTGCAAAAATAAACGAGATAATGTTCAGCATTTTTTGATACGTGTACATCTCATAATATAAAAAAAAAATATAATACATATATAATAAAATAGAAAACAAAATTTGCAAAATTTTGCTGTATTTGAGTACAATAATGTATTATATTGAGTGCAGTAATTAATATATTTTCCTTGCAAAAAAAAAACTTATTTTATCTGACGACGTACCTCGGCCAGCATATCGTAAGGCGGCGCGTAATTCATATCAATCCAACGTTCCTCTTGGCTTTTTTTGTAGTGATGCTGGAAAGATTGCTCCTGTAGCTTCTTCAGATTGTCCGGCAGATGTCTGGCGAATGTTACCTTCACCGGTGTGGCGTTATCTTCGTCCTCGTCTGCATTTTAGCAAATGAATTTGTGAGTGTTTCTCGTACACTTGTGCCAAATCTCTGAAGGTTCAACATAGGCTATTTAAGTAAATAATATTCGTGTAACAAGTCAGCCAAGGAGACATCCTCTTTTTACCTTTTTCCGCGCCCTTCGTCCCGTCCCTGGCGTATTCCTCGCTCTCGTCCAGGTTGCATTGCAGCTTCATGTGCAGAATCGCCTTCAACGGTGTGATGTGCAGCTCGTCGTCCTGAAAGATCCCGACCGCGAAATTCGAGCAGTTCGACAATGCCCGTTCTGACGTCAACACGACCTTATTCATCAGATCGCTAATGAGAAGAAAATATTTTTTTCTCCATAACTCTAAAATTAATTCAATTAAATCGATCAAAGCCTTTAACGATCGAAATTCTGTACTATACATGAAAGAAACATGCTATTTTAGTTGCAAAGTTGCAGAAAATATGATACGTTTCTTGCACGTCGCCGCGACATAACATATCGAATAATTTAGTTTTCATTAATCAGCTGTTTATCGGATTTAATTATATCATTTGTCCTTTAAACCATATAACTTTTGCCTGAACCATTTAAAAAAAAAAAAAAAAAACCATTTAGGGGAAGACATTAAAAAGTGAGCAGCACAGCAATCTCAGCCAATCAAGCAATTTAAGAAATGCCTGATTGGCTGAAGCTGCTGTGTTTCCCACACTAGCATACACTAAAATGGATCTCATTTTTGCTTTTCAATGTATAGCCATCAACTAAAAGGTTGCAACACTTTTTATTTTGATGAGTTTTAAAATGCAGTTTTGCTTGTGGAGCAGTTGAACGTAATTGATTAGATCCATTAAGCCCATGGCACATACAAAAACGTTAAGCAGTAAGATGTAAGCAGTAAGTGAATTGGCTAATCACAATAGAGAACGTACATTTTTCATGTGGGTTTTAGTAGGAACCAATCGCTCGATGAACAGATTGTGTTCCGAAAATGATTAAACAAAAAGTGATGCAATTTTTTAGTTGATGACTATAAAACGTAGGTAATTTTAATATCTCCACCTAAATATTTTTTTCGTACACCTTTTGCAAAAAAACTGTTTCAGACAAAAAGTTGTACAGCTTGAAGGACAATACTCAATTTAAAAAATCAAATTTTTTAGGTCATATGAAAGTCATCATTTTTTAGAGATATCTATAAAATTTGATTTTTCTACATAACAATTTCTCTAATTATTCTACATTTAAAGCACCAAAATTCTGGCCTTGGTCGTTGAAGGCTTTTCTTAATTTAATATTTTATTCATTTATTCTTTTATCGGATAAATATTCATTTATCGGTCTTAAGTCAATTTATTGTTAATTTATTATTGTTAACATTTCGCCAGAAACTTTAAAATTTCGTCACCTTTCAAATACCGTTTCATCATTTTCCTGAGATTTCCTGTCTGTATTTAAAGCCAGCTGCTTTCCCATATTGTGATCGTAAGTGCGTTCGTTCGTTGTATCCATCGCAAGTTCAATACGAATTTTCTGGTTTTCGGGCTTAATGGAGGTCTTTGAGATGGTGGCATTGGTGCAACCATCCTTGATGTGCGCAGGATACTGAACAATAATTAATTTGTCCGCCAGAGTCTTGGAGAGGAATACTGGTATCTATACAAACAATTCCATTTATTGTTCTTGTATCGACGAAAAATAAATACATGTTCTGAAGAAGGAAATAATTTGTATGTGATAAATCCGATAATAAAATCAGTTTTTATATCCAAACAGGATTATATTAAAAAAAAAAAAAAACGTGAGAGTTGCAATTTTAAGCGGATCTAAAAATTTTTTGCCTTGAAAACACATAAAATATGCGAGTTTAAAAAGAGAAATGAAATGAAAAAAAAGAACGAATGCAAACGTCTATCAAACAAATTTTGAATCACGTGCTTAGAAGCAGCAAAATCTAACCTAAAAAAAACCGTGATATTAAACAATCGTATCGAGAGCGAGTAGAACAGTGGGAAATTAAAATCGAACGATGGAACTAACCTCTTTCACGATAAGATCATTTTCTACTTCCGTGGAAAGATTCATCTCCGTCGGGTCGAGCGAATGGGACGAGCCCGGCGAACGAAAACAGACCATAACAACAATTCAGGCACACTCACGTGAGGCAGAAAGGATACTGAAAGCGCGCAGCTCGCCGCTCGCGTCTCGCGATTTAGTTGCGATCAGCTGGTTTCAGCGCCTCTATGTCCATAAAACGTGGACATTGAACTACGTGCCAATGTCTACGATTATGTCGGTAATGTCCACAAATTTTTGGTGCTGATCCGTGCTATGTCCACGATTCAGTGGTTGTGTTCCATGCTAAGTGCTGGAATGCAAGTAGGTTAGTTAGACAAGGACGGACCGATATCGAATAAAAACCGTTCCCGCCTTTCTTTAGTTCATATGACTACGAGGAGCTTTGCGGTTCTTCATTTTGTGTTTTCGCATAAGTATTACGTGTCACGTCGAAAGATATGAGAAAAGCAAATCGAAAACCGTTTTCAGCACCTTCGGCGGCGAAGAAGACCAAATTTAGGTGATCATTCGTTTTGCTATTGAATGTGACGCTTGCTAACCTCTATGCCTCTGTGTCCCTTTTGTATTTCCAGCTATTAACAATAATTTATTACGATACTGTTACGTTTATTATCACTTTTTTATATTTTTTAAGTTTTGATTGTATAGATATCTGCTCCTTTTATTTGTTTATATAAATCTGATAATGCAGTTTCATTTAAAAGATGTGTCCGTGTTTTTCTCTCTACATTGGATATATATGTATATACAACTCCGTACCAATATAAACCAGTATTATTTGTCTTCATTAGCTTTCTATAAATTTTTATTACTACCCACATAGCACAGTTCTTCAAGGAACGTCATCTTTTAAGGATGTTCCCTCGAATAAAGTGTGCTGTCTGGGTGGTATTGGTTTGCATTTAATCAGTATTATTAAAGGAATTATTTAATCTTAAATAACTGTAATGTCACTTTTTTCTTGCGTTAGACAATAGATTTTGAAATTTTGAATATTAATTTTGTTAAACAGAGATGAAGACGAAGAGACGCCCAGTTCATTTGAGGCAGAACTTGCCACCATGGATCTTGCAGATGATGATTTTCCAGATGAGACACTATTTATTGGAGAAGTATGTCTATATCATATTTCTGTAAATGTAAAAATAATTTTTTGTTTTAAATAAATGTAATTTATATTTTAATTATTATTTGTTGTAATACATACAGATGTATTATTTATTAATAATTGTCTTTTATACAGGGACCTGAACAAGAAAATACATCTGCGAAATGGAGCAGAGCACCACCGCCACCTTTGAATCCTCAAGTTGATACACTGGCATTTCAGCAAATTGAAATTGATCATTATATAGGTAATATATTTTTAAGACGTATCCATATATTTAAAATAATAGTAAACAACTCAAAAATATACCAATGTTGCAAAATGTATGATTGTATGTAGGTAAACCTCTTCCTGGGATGCCAGGTAGTAAAGTAGGACCTGTGCCAATAATGAGGATGTTTGGCGTTACGGAACAAGGAAATTCTGTCTGTTGTCATGTCCATGGCTTTTGCCCATATCTATTTGTATCAGCGCCATCGAATTTCACAAACAATCACTGCAGGCCATTCAAGGTACGTTTATTTTAACAGCAAAATAATGATTTTCTTTGGATTGGTTGATCTTGAGAAATAATTAACCCCAGAATCTTCTCGAATACAGGAAGCTCTTAATCAAGCTGTAAAGAAGGATATGAAATCAAATCCGGATAACATACAGGACGCCATCCTAGTGGTCGAATTAGTCTACAAGCAATCGATGTATGGATACGGAGGAAGTGATAAATTGCGGTTTTTGAAAATTACGGTGGCAGTCCCGAAATTGATAGCACCTTGCAAACGATTATTGGAACAAGACACTGTTTATACTGCGTTTAATCATCACTATAAAGCATTTGAGAGTAACATCGATTTTGATATCAGGTAGCGTAGACATCTTAAGCATTCTGTATCGTTTTTGTATGTTACGTTTTTATCAAAATTGCAACATTACATTTGATCATTTAAATGCAAGGTTCATGGTTGATACGTCAGTGGTTGGCTGTTCTTGGATTGAACTAACACCAGCAAGCTGGAAATTACGTGGCCAGCATGGACACATGCTGGAATTAACTACACGATGCCAATTGGAAGTGGATGTTGCATGGGATGCTTTTGTAGCTCATGCGCCGGAAGGAGAATGGTCAAAAATCGCTCCATTCAGAATCCTCAGTTTCGATATTGAATGCGCTGGACGCGAAGGTAATTTATTGTCGTTGCTCTTTTTACCCTTAATTCTGATGCTTATTGTTTTACCATACGATATTAATTACAAATCTTTTCTACAGGTATCTTTCCGGAAGCAAAACATGATCCTGTGATACAAATTGCTAACATGGTCATAAGACAGGGCGAGCCCGAACCGTTTCTAAGAAATATTTTCACTCTCGATACTTGCGCACCTATCGTCGGTTCTCAGGTTTTGAGTTTTGATAAGGAAAGTTTAATGTTAGAGGTAAGCTATTTAAAACGTAAAGAAGGTATTCGTTATATTGTGATATCAATTATTTAATAATATTTTCTTTTGCAAGAAATGGGCTGATTTTGTGCGGCAGTCAGATCCTGACATTTTCACAGGATATAACATAAACAATTTTGACTTCCCGTACTTAATTAATCGCGCGCAACATCTCAACGTTAAGAACTTCAACTTTCTCGGTCGAATAAAAAATATAAAATCTGTAATCAAGGATCATGTGCTGCAAAGTAAACAGCTGGGTCGTCGTGAGAACAAATCGATTAATTTCGAAGGAAGAGTTCCGTTCGATTTACTGCTAGTAAGAAAATTTATATAATATGAATAACGATTTCTTTCGTTGTATCACAGCTTTAATAAAAATGAATATGTACTTTTTTTCAGGTATTGGTCCGAGATTATAAACTGAGATCTTACACTCTAAATGCGGTATCGTATCATTTTCTTCAAGAGCAAAAAGAGGATGTCCAGCATAAGGACATTACGGGGCTGCAAAACGGAAATGCGCAGACACGTCGACGTCTCGCTGTATACTGTTTGAAGGACGCATACCTGCCGCTTAGATTATTGGACAAGTTGATGTGTATTATTATCTATATGGAAATGGCTAGGGTTACAGGAGTATCCATTACCAGCTTGCTGACTCGCGGACAACAAATCAAAGTCGTTTCTCAACTTCTGCGTAAGGTAAATAAATTTATATAATTACAGAAAGAAATAACTGCCTTTGATATTGGCAATTAAGCGCGTAATCTATCAATGTTATCAGACCAGGGAAGAGGGTTACTTAATGCCGGTACATCAAGGCCACGGTACTGACGAGCAATTCGAAGGAGCGACCGTCATTGAACCTAAGCGTGGCTACTACAACGATCCGATAGCTACCTTAGATTTCAGCTCCTTGTACCCTAGCATTATCATGGCGCACAACTTGTGTTACACGACATTATTGACCGTTGCCAAAAAGAAGGAGCTCAATATTCAAGAGGACCAATTTACCGCAACTCCCAGTAATTCGTTATTCGTGAAGAATACCGTGAGGAAAGGTATCCTTCCCGAGATTTTGGAAAACCTTTTGACAGCCAGAAAAAGAGCAAAGGCAGAGTTAAAGCAAGAAACGGATCCTTTGAAGCAAAAAGTACTCGATGGTAGGCAATACGCTTTGAAAGTGTCGGCGAATTCCGTGTACGGCTTCACGGGGGCGCAGATGGGAAAATTACCGTGCTTGGAAATATCTGCTGTAAGTTATTGAAACATATTTAACGAAAAAGAATATTACAAAATGTGTGATAGGAGATCTAAAATATTCATAATGTAATAAAATTGCAGAGCGTTACCGCTTATGGACGTACCATGATAGAACGAACGAAGCAAGAGGTGGAGGATCGCTTTCGAATAGAAAATGGATATAAAAACGATGCGATAGTCATATATGGCGACACTGATTCCGTGATGGTTAAGTTTGGCGTGAAAGCTATAGAAGATGCAATGGAACTCGGTAAAGAGGCGGCCGATTACGTGACGTCGAAATTCATCAAGCCTATAAAATTGGAGTTTGAGAAAGTGTATTTTCCGTATCTCTTAATCAACAAGAAACGTTACGCTGGCCTGTATTTTACGAAACCGGATAAGTACGACAAGATGGATTGTAAAGGTCTCGAAACGGTGCGCAGAGACAATTGTCCACTGGTGGCGAACATGATGAACACTTGTTTGCAAATATTACTTATCGAAAGGTACATTATTTCTTTCTTCACACCTCATCGTGCTCAGTCGTGCGTATTTATGCTGTAGATAAGTAATAAGTGATGTAATGTTACAGAAATCCAAGTGCCGCTGTAGATTATGCCAAACAGGTCATTAGCGATCTCCTGTGTAATCGTATCGATCTGTCTCAATTAGTCATCACGAAGGAACTGACGAAGACGGATTACGCAGCGAAGCAAGCGCACGTTGAGCTGGCGGCGAAGATGAAGAAACGAGACGCCGGAAATGCGCCGAAACTTGGCGACCGAGTGGCGTACGTGTTCACAAGCGCAGCCAAAGGCACACCGGCATACGAGAAGGCGGAAGATCCCGTGTACGCGCTACAGAATAGCATCCCGATAGACACAAACTATTATCTGGAGAATCAATTGGCGAAGCCTCTTGTACGTATCTTCGAGCCTATCCTCGGCGATAAGGCCGAGTCGCTTCTCCTGAAGGGTGATCATACACGTACGAGGTGCATCGCTACCTCGCAAGTTGGAGCGCTCGCCGCTTTCACACGTAAAAAGGAGACCTGTTTGGGCTGCAAGGCTGTTTTACCACCGGACAGGGAAGACAAGGCGGTATGCAAGCATTGCGAACCTAAAGAGGCTGAACTGTTCCACAACGAGCTGCAGGCCCAGCACAAACTGGAACAGAAGTTTTCCAGATTGTGGGCGGAATGCCAGAGATGCCAAGGGAGTCTCCATCAAGAAGTCATATGCTCTAAGTTAGTTGTATTAATTAATATGGAATTAATACTCTCTTCCTAAAGGATATATTCTTTTATATATTCTTTTATACATAGAAGAGTAAAAATATGAATGACATGTGTTTCAAAATAGTTATTTTTAAATGTACTTTTAGCCGTGACTGTCCCATATTTTACATGAGGGTGAAATCTCGAATAGATATGGCTGCGAAAATCAAGCGAATCAAAAGATTTGGTGTACCGGAATGGTAGTAGAAAAAGAGGGATCGCATCTCGCATAGGTAAGTTCGTTTTATAAAAGCTATTATTATCTACCACAAACAGCAAAATTGCCGTTATTTACATGTAATAAATTTAATTTGAATATTTATTACGAACTATGACGAAGTATAGTTATATATTTTATCATATATAAATTATTAAAATTTAGTAATTTGCTCAGGAAATATAAATACATATTGGAAAATATGAAAAAATATCACCATCTATTATTTGGTTTGCTGCTAAGCGCAGTAGAAATCATCTCAGTTAAACTAGAATTTCACACAGGGTGAAACTTCTGTTATTTACTCGAAATCATTTCCAACATTAACGTGATTCTTTCACGGCACAGAATTAATTTTGTTTGTATTGTGCAACAATTTTTATAAATGCTAGGATGATGTTGCACCCACTTTGAGTTTTATTTTGAATTTGTTTTAATCACATTGAAAAAAAAAAATTAATTTTACATTACAATTTAAGATACATGAAGACGACAGTATATTATGTATAAATATGATAAATGTTTTGAAATATTCTTTTTTTTTTATAATTTTGAACTTTTTTCGAAAATGTTTATTGTTGCGTTTGTCTTGTAATCGAGTTGTATATTAGCAATATACTTGTATTCCTATTACAATTTATAATTCTTTATCAAATTCAATTATCGTCAATATTAAATGAATAATGAGACAATGATTTTAATCAAATCATTAATTAAATGTTACGCGTAGCAGTAGCACTATTTATTAGTGCAAAAAAATTCTAGTTGAAGTTGAAAGAATCCTCTAAGTTTATTATCTTAAATATAGAAAGATAAAATGATCCCCTTATTACGTCTTCGGCGTTATGAAAAAGTACAGTGATTCCTCGAATCTTCTCGCTGTAAATTGTAAAGGAATTATTTAAAATTCAATAATTACAATAAATAAACAGAATATCGCGCGCCCGGCGACTCGCAGTCCGGAGGCTCGCGATTTAGAGCGACAGTCGTGTGACTAGTCCCCTTGTAAGGCTCGAATATAAATAACTGACATAATTATTGATCATTTTCTACTCTGCAGCGCATTCGACAACCAGTCCATGGCTTGGTCAAGCCCCTCGCCCTTCGTCGCGGAAGTTTTAAATATTTGGAAGGTTCGGTTCTTAAGAGCGTCCAATCCGAGCGCTTGGTGGACCTCCGCAACACTAAGGCATCCCGCCATATCCTGTTTATTCGCCAGCACCACCAAGATCGCACCTTGTAATTCTTCTTCCTATTTAAAGATAAAATACATTCTGAATTACATATTTTTTTTAATGCAATTGTTAATGCCAAACAATAAAATAAAGGATTTTTTTTATTAAAAAAATAGTGTGCAGGATTATTAAATCAATAAGCAATGTTACTTACTTGTAACATGAGAATTAATTCGTCCTTTGATATGCCTATTCTATCTCTATCTGCCGAATCTACCACGTAAATTATCGCATCAGTATTGGAATAGTAACACCTCCAGTATGGTCTGAAAGTAAATATATTTATTCAAAATGTAACTTATAAAGGATAATCTTATTAGTATTGGATATATGCATATCACGTTATTGAAATTTAAAATAGAAATAATTTTATTTATAAATTCAAAGAAAGAACTTTTATACATGCATAAGCTCAACATACCGTATACTCGTTTGACCACCGAGATCCCAGACTTGAAACTTTAAATTTCTGTAAGTAACTTGTTCTACATTGAACCCTATGGTTGGTATTGTGGTCACTACTTCGCCTACCTGTAACCTAAGAAGCAATTGATTAAAGAACTTGTGCGCTATATAACCTTGCGAGAAGGTTGAAGGCGCTATAATCCGCCAGCTGGTGGAGTAAAAGGGGAAAAAAATGATTAAAGAACTTTGCTTGTCAATCGTTTACACATTTTACATTTACAATTAAAATTTTACATCAAATATATATATATATTCATCTCTCATTATCGAAATAATAATATTTGAGCATTTGTATCACAAAATGCATAATATTCATAACATTAATATGCAATCGCGTGACAAATGGAATGTAAAATAAAACGTGTAAATGTGTGACGTCAAAGACATAAAGATAACATCACGGTGTAAGGATGACGAAAATTTCAAGATACAAAGGTAACTCCGATTCGTGAAGAGAAAAGAGTGACTGGTAGTGGATGGTCGTGTAAACAGCCGATGACAGCTAGTCGTCGAAGGACCGTGTCCGAATGCCGTACCTGTACAAAATCGTGGTTTTGCCGGCGCCGTCCAGGCCGAGGATCAGAATCCGCATCTCGCGGCTGCCGAGCAGGTTACGGAAGTAGCTGAGCAGCCCACCTGTAAGGAGACGCTGTCATGACGCTCGCGTGCGATAACGCGACGAGCGAGGGGGAACAATCTCGGGGGGTAGTCGGGAGTTACGGCGCGATTATTCGGCCTCCTTTTTCTCGCGGAAATTAATTGGCGCGGCACGCCGCCGGAGATCGCGATCACGTTCTCGACTCACCCATGCTGACGTATCGTTAACTCCGAGTCATACAGGACCGCCCGATGTTTATTGTCAAACTTGATAACCATAAACGTGTCCAAATAACCGGGGTCGCCGCCAACCCTGCCTCGCTGCTGCTGCGTCTACGGCACTCCGCACAGTATACGACCTACTTCAGTCACGGCTCGCACCACCAGGGCCGCCAGACGTGTGTGTGCCGCGTGAGAGAGAAATCGGGATTTCGAAAGTCACTAGACTCGCCCCCCCCCCCCCCTGTTACGTTCCTCCCGTCACGTCGCGCGCGCAAGTCCACACGGACGCCGACGGTCGTTGCCGTCGCACGCACGTACTATTTTTTTTTTTTTTTTCAACAATTCGATGCCATTTGATGCGTTCCCAAATTCATCGAGAAAAAATTGTTTTAACCTTCCGTCGGTTTGCACTTTTATTATCTCCCTCGCAAAACGCTAAACGCGCGAGCACGCCGCTAATTGTGGTGCGGTGGCCACGACGTATAGGGATTGAATTTACGGAACGTAAACCGTGGCGGCGGACCGGTGACTGTCACGTTGAAGCTGCTGACGTTGAAAGTTTCGATCGTGGGGGGGAACAATGCGTCTTGGTTAGAAATCCGTCGATCCCGCACAGCTGTATCGATTTAAAAGTGCGCTTTAATTTAATATAGGAACGCCACGATTGTCGGACGATTATTGACGGCGCGATAATGCACACGTTCCTAACACGAGGAAATGCTATCGTGGCATATACGTTAAGCGTGTCGGCATGCCTCACATTTTGCTGTTTCCTCTCGACAGTATTTATCGATTACAGAGCGAACGCGACGTTAAACACGGTTAAAGTTGTCGTGTAAGTATCGTGTACGAATAATGTATAAATTTGTTACATCGCACAGTTTGTCGCACAATTTTTCATATTTATTTCAATCAGATTGCACTTACGTTTCTGTCAAAAGATCCATATTGTACCTACCTAAGTTGTACCGTGCTTGAAAGACAATATTTTCTGCATGATTCAAATTGCAAATATTGAGAAGCTTACAGTTTTTGATGCATTTCAATGAATTAAAGATTAATATATGTTACATTAATATACGTTATGTATGAATTTTGCGTATTTTTTACAATTGCCGTAAATACATTTTATTTGCAGGAAAAATGTACCAGATTACAGTGCATCGAGAGAGAAAAACGACCTGGGTTACTTGACTTTTGATCTACAGACTGATATCCTTTTTGTGCAATGTTATACAAGTGGCCCTGTGCCGTTAAAATTAATTATTTAATTTGCACGAGTCCATCTGAATTATGTACATATACTTTCCAATCATCTTATCACAATTCACAAAAGAATGATTCAGTTTTTATAAAAACAACTGTTTTATCCTATAAAACGTTATATTAAATTTATGTTTCAAATTATATTTTCCTTACAAAGCCTTTACATCTCACTCCATTATTTAACTGGAATGTTAAGCAATTGTTCTTATACCTCACGGCAGAATATCAGACAGAAAATAATGAATTCAATCAGGTACGTTTTTGGATTTATTCATTTACAATATGTATTCTATTTTCTTTCTTGAGATCGATTTTTTATAAAACGATTATCAATGTCTGTTGGCAGGTAGTACTATGGGATAAGATAGTTCTTCGTGGAGATAATGCTGTACTCGACTTCAAGAATATGAACACGAAATATTACTTTTGGGATGACGGCAAAGGCCTCAGGTAAAGTAAAATCGACTGTCGTGAAAGAGCAAAGCTTTTCTGTAATTTTTATTGATGAACTCGTACCCCATAAATAAGTCTTTTGCTTCTCGTTTTTACAGGGGGAATAAGAATGTAACGTTAACATTGTCCTGGAACATTATTCCAAACGCTGGATTGTTACCTAGTGTTAATGCTCTTGGGTCTCACACTTTTGCATTCCCGTCTGAATACACAACGTTGCGCGTATAACGCATATTTAAATGTATATGTGTTATGATTGTGTATAAATATGATTTTGTAAGACTCTTATTTAAATTGCATAAAATTCGTGTACAATAAACAACGTTTATTTCTTCACGATCATTTCTTTATTCGAGCGTTATATTCGCTCTGTTCGTTATATATTATCGTCCATGTACGTTTCTCTTAGATGGACTGTCAAATTTAAATATTGTGCATATTGCAAATGTAATGAATATTTAAAAATTGTAAATCGGTTTATATTTTACAAAATATTTGAATTATTCCTCTTCTTGAATTCTCATATTTTTTGTAGGTTTTGTGCGCGATTCAACTTTTTGATAATATAATTGATAGTTTATTTTCAATTATCGCTATTTGACACATTGGTAAATGAGTGCTAAGCTTTATTTTTACTATCCTCCGGAGTATCTTGCATTTTGGCGTCTTTCTTTTCTTCGTCTGTACTTGTGGATTCGTCATCGTCGTCGTCTTCCACATCATCATCGTCGTCATCGTCATCTTCATCATCGTCGTCATAATCATCATCCTCATCTTCATTGGCATAATTAATTCCGTAAGATTCTTGATTTCCTGCTGCAAAGAGAAAATGTTTTCTCAAAGGTAAAAAAAAAAAAAACAGAACAAGTATAAATATTGCAAACTTCAGGATCTTTAAGAATGAAAGAGAATTTTGGTTTACCATAATTATATCCATTTTCATCATCGGACTCGGATGGACCACCTTGATTTTGTCTACCAAACTTGTGACTTCTCGCTTTAAAAATGAAAAACAAAGTCAAATTCATGTAAAAAATTTTATAATAATATAATCTAAATGCTTACTGGACATGCTTAGATCCTTGGTCTGCGACGTCTCGTAGCTGCACTTTGGACAAGGGATAGCCTTATTCTTCTCGTACTTGAAACCTTTTCTACGAACGTGATCCTCACAGTAGCATGTCTTGCACCTGAGACAGGAGTATTGTCCCAAACGATTACAGGATTGACCTGCAAAAATGTTTAAGTGGTGTTAAAAATAATCGATCGAAATTAAATAGGAACGCAGCGTCCCTCGTGTACGTCGCCCCTATTACATTTGAAATTCTCCGCCTCCAGTACTTGGCACGACGCCTGATGCTCAAACTGATCGTCCTCGCACAAGAAGCAGTCGCAGAACGAGCACTTGAATATCCTCCCGCCGTGATCCCAGACGCCTCTCTCGCACTCCTGACAAACGGCGTCCGTCAGCGGGCAGACGCAGGCGTGTGAGGTCAGGCAACGTCTCCCGTGGCACACCCAGGCCTCGCAGTAGTCGCATATGGCTCCCTAGGACGCAAAAAAAACTCCGTTCGTGACGAATCTCGGTCATCCCGACAAAATTCGTTTCGCAGCTCGGCCACCTCCACGGGGTGACGGCGCGCGCGCGGATTTTTACTTGCCACCATTCCCAGCCCCGTGGTGAAGACCCCGGGATGCCGCACCACGCAGTCGCCCGTCTTCAGCATGCACTTGATCTTGCCGCAGTGCGCGCACATCGGCAACCGCTGCAGGCTCTGGCAGAAGTAACAGAAGGCACGGCTCTTTTGCTTCTTATTGCACTTGTCGCACTCCTGCGGACAAAATTATGCACCGGAGGCGCGAAGCGTAGTAGGTAATCAGTGGTGGAAGCGTAGAGGAGGACACTCACCATCAGGGAGTTGCACGGAAATTTGGCTAGGTCGACCTGCTCCTTGGCGGCTCTGATCTCCTTCTGCCGGAGCTTCTGCTTCTCGGCCTTCTTCCTCTGCCCGGTCTTCTTCTTCGGCATTTCTCGTCCGGTCGACGGGGTCCGTCGCGTTCCGGCTTCGATCGCGGTAGACTCAAAAGACGTGTTCTGCGAGACGCGCGTAAATCACGCGTGAGATCGCAACAGGTTATGGTTATGTCAACCAACGCACACCACCTTAACCTAACCGCAACACCGAGACTCGAGCGATCGATAGTTATGGATTTTCGCACCGTGATAAAAGTGAACCGCGTGACCGGCGTGACGGCTGCTTGATCGTAGAATTGTTCTCGGGATTTTGCGCTGTCAGGTACAGAAATAATTACTCGACCTTTCAGTTAAACAAATGAGAATAAAATAGGTACTCGAGATCAATTGTAAATAGACACGAATTTGCAGAGATTCGCTCCCTCAGCTGATTTGCCAGATGGAAGTGGTGGGCAACGTTAAAGCAGACCGCCAAGTATCTTTGAACAACAACGGACGGTCCAAGTCGCCGTACACCGTTGAATCCCTGTTGCTGTTGGACAACACGTTGCTGTGTAACATAGAACCTGACAATGGCTCGCAGCACGTCTCGCCGGCTTCGGAAATGTGCAGGCCCCGCCGAGGGTTCGGCGAGGCGGCACAAGCCACCAAGGGGCAGAGCGTTGCAACGGCCAGCCCCAGAGTATCACCCAGGACACCCAGGATGTCCCCCAGCATGACCGAATGGCAGGACAAGACCTTGATGAATCAGATATTCGCGCAATTCGATTCACAGAACGAGGATGAAGTTGTTCCAGAGAGTTGCAATAACATAAGCACCTTCGACATATTTGGCACGTCTTACAGAGAGGATATGAATTCTGAATTGGGCGATAATGTGGATCGCAATGTTGCGGAGGCAGCCCCAGGTCAGTTGCGTAAGAGCGCAATACATCAAGATGAATTAATGAACGCGTCGTGCTGGCACATCACGAACTTTGGTGACTACACGTTGGAGGACAGTTCTTTCCAAAAGAATGACAGAAGTGATTCGCCAATTTTAAAAACCAAATCTAGAGCCTTGAATGAATGTAAAATTTTAAGAAAAAAACCGCGATGTGACTTAAATAGCGATGTGTCGTCGAAGGAGGCGAAAAGTGAAACAGACTCCATAAATTCTTCTTCATTTTATGGCCTGCCGAACACTGTAAAAAAATTGATACAAGAAGTCAAGGGAATTTCTGAATTATATCGTAAGTTTTTTGACAGTAAATCTAGTTTATAAGAAACAATTTATAAGAATAATAAATTTAAATTAAATAAGAATCGATGCTTGCTGTTTTTCTCATGTAGAATGGCAAGACGAATGCTTAAAATTGGCTAGTAGAACCAAGAAGAACTTAATTTATGCTCTGCCAACAAGTGGCGGCAAAACTTTGGTTGCAGAGATATTGATGTACAGGGAGATTATATGTAACAAGAAGAATGCCATTTTTATACTTCCATATGTGGCTTTGGTACAGGAAAAGGTATGACACTTTAAGATAGAAATATTGAAAGCATTTGTGCTCCAGCACATATAATTAATTGAGCTGAAATTTATATATGCAGGTTCAATCGATGGCTATATTAGCATTGAAATTAGGTTTCTTAATCGAGGAATACGCGGGTACAAAAGGGCGTTATCCACCAATCAAACGGCGAAGAAAAAACAGCCTTTACATATGTACAATAGAGAAAGCATTAGGACTTGTAAATAGTTTAATAGAAACGAAACGTTTAGCCGAGGTAAGTTAATTGAAATATTGGCTGAAATATTAATCAATTATCGCAGTTAGATTGTGTAACATGTAAAAAATATTTTAGATTGGCATTATAGTTGTCGACGAATTACATCTTCTTGGAGAATCTGGAGGAAGAGGAGCCACATTAGAGGGCCTTCTTACAAAGATAATGTTCTTCAGTGGTAATTACAGATATTAAAATGGAATTATACAGGAAATACGAGTACTTCCTAAAAGTTATTCACTTTCTAATATAAAACTAATTTTTTACAGATGTAATACGCTTGATTGGGATGAGCGCGACGATAGGCAATTTAGAAGAAATCGCTCAGTTTCTTGACGCAGACACATATTCTCAAAACTTTCGGCCAGTTAAAATAACAGAATATATGAAATGTGAGAATGACATGTGGGTAGTCAATTTGAATAGCGAAGAATTGTTGGTAGATATGAGCACCAACGATTACAAGGTGATTTAATCAAATTTTATTTTATAAGATCTTTGCGTGTAAAAGATAACGTTAAATAATATAATTTTATTATCAAGTACTCAGATGAGGCAGCAATGATGGATCCAGATAGAATTGGAGGTTTGATAATGGAAGTGATACCAAACGATTCATGCCTTATATTCTGCTCAAGTCGTAAAAACTGTGAGAATGTGGCCTTATTGTTAACCAAAGTCTTGCCTAAGTAAGTCTTTATGATACTTATTTTTAATTTGTTTTTTTTTTTAATAAGCTGTATTAAATATATGATGATTGTATCACAAACATCCAAATTTTACTATTTCAGAAGTTTGTATAATCACAAAGTAAACGAAAAGAAGACCTTGTTAAATGCGCTTGTGACTGAAGAAGGATTATGCTCCATTTTGCAAAAAACTATCAAACATGGTATAGCCTATCATCATTCTGGCCTCACGTCTGAAGAACGGCGCTTGTTAGAGGACGCCTTTAGAGAAGGTACTCTATGTGTAATATGCTGCACGTCGACTTTAGCGGCTGGTGTCAATTTGCCAGCGAGGAGGGTAATTAATTAATATAATGATGATGCAGATAAGTAATATTATTACAGCTGTTACTAATATTGTCTTTTATCAGGTAATTCTACGTAGTCCTTATGTTGGTAATCAGTTCTTAAACTTAAGTAGATACAAACAAATGATTGGTCGTGCTGGTCGCGCTGGTATGGGAGTTTTAGGAGAAAGTATACTTATCTGTAAAAAGACCGAGATCAGTAAAGTAAGAATTTGTAAAAAATAGAACTGAAAGTATATACACACATATAATTTATGGCACCTTAAAAACTAAGGAATAACTTATGTTACAGGTAAAAGATCTCTTAATTTCTCAAATGGACGATTCACTGAGTAGTTTATACATAGAAGGCGACAGGGGACTGAACAATTTGATTCTGAGTGCAATACTATTAAATATGGCATCGACCAGGTCCGAATTGCACAAATTGGCAGCTACAACTCTACTCAGTATTCAACAAAATAGAATAGGCATTAATCTGAAGGCAATCGTAGATGAAACAATAACGGCGTTATTAAAATGTGGCGTGATAAAAGTGAAGAGCAAAGGAAGCAATGCTGGTAATCCTAATGTAACTGTTGTTATTCCATCTCAAGAACCAATGTGTACGAAGAATTTACCAGTTAAAAAGGGAATAAAAACGATCACGTTTACGAGTGAAACTGAGTTTCAGCTTTGCGATTTGGGACAAGCTGCAATGAAAGGTAACAGCAACAAGTTTTTATTTATTTCTGTTTTCGAGCACATATTTCATAATAAGAATAATTCGCTGCAGGGCCGATAGACTTGAAAACCGCATATACATTGTACGAAGATTTAAAAACGGCTCAGAAGCATTTAATCTTAATTGACAATCTCCATCTTCTGTATCTCGTCACACCTTATGACAGTGTGTCTCAAATCACTCCCGTCGGCAGTATCTACTATGATGTGGTAATATTATCTACGCTCTTATAATATTGATATTGCTTTAGTAATATGCATTCATTGTGTCGTATAATATTATTTAAGATAATGGAGTTGACTGAAAGCCAAATGCAAGTTGCTAGACTTCTTGGAATAACCGAAGCTGCGGCAAATAAATTACGTGATGGAATAATGCCTAAGGTCAGTTTATTATCAGATAATTGAAACTGTAATTTAAATGCACTGTTTTATTTAGAAAAGAAATTTTCATTACTTACAGTCCGTCGAGAAGAGGGTAGTTCATAGATTTTACGTGACATTAATAGTACACGAATTGTGGAACCATCATACAGTTTATTCCGTTGCTGAGAAATATCAAGTTAGTAGAGGTGTTATACAAAGTCTCTTAAATACGGTATCAATATTTGCATCTTCTGTAGTCAGATTTTGCCAGGTAAACAAATGAGTTGTTTCAACTAATATCATGATCACTATTATAACAGGATATAATAGAAAAAAATCAAAATATATCATTCTCAAGTTTTATTTTATAGGAATTACCTGAGTTTTGGGCATTTACTGAGATGTTAAGTACATTCAGTAAAAAATTATTTTACTGTTGCCCATTAGAGCTAGAAAAATTGATGGAGCTTCCATCCGTTAAAATAGTGAGTTTTTATTGTACACATTACGTTCAAATATTTACAAATCAAAAATTGAATCTATGTACGTACTTATTTTAATCATGTTTTATCATAGGGTAGAGCTCGTCAATTATACAAAGCTGGCTATAAAACTTTACAATCTATAGCAAAAGCCGATCCTAGAGAAATAAAGGAAAAAATTCCATATTTAAGTAATAAAATAATTGCGCAAATTGTAGCTGCTGCGAAAGTAAGTCATATAATTTATACTAATGAAAATATTTGTTTTTACATTCTTATTACTCATTATTACAACTTACAGCTTTTACTATTACAAAGAGCAGAAGATTTAAAAGATGAGTGGGAAGACATTTTAGACGGTATAAATATAAGTCAAATAGAAGTAAATATTGTAAATACTAATAATTTTTTATAATTTTTTCTAAACGAGAATTTATAAGTCTTGGGAAAAATTTAATCTTTCACAGACTTTTGACGAAAATATAAATACAAGTAAATATATGACTTTCACATCTGTAGAGAACAATTATATATAAAATTCGAATTGTGTATATGTATAAATAATGTAGTGTACAACGAAATAATGCGCTTATTAAGTATTCATGTAATATTAATTAAATGAGATAAATTATTTTTTTTGTAAAAATCACGTTTTTTGTAAATTTTTTATATTTTATAAAAAATACACAAAATTATTAGATACCTTTTATTTCTTACATCTATAACTTGTGTCTAATAGAGCAATGTGTTTCAAAGAATAGCACATTGTTTAAGCAGGCACATAGAGTAATTATCCAAACAATGTTTGATATAAGCTTATTACCTAGAGGTAATGGTAATATCGACAAAATATGGAACATTTTCATGTAGAACATTTATTTTGCATAATAAAATATTGCGCTATAATGAAGTAAAATTATCTTTTTTTATACAAACATGATTTCAGCGTAATTGAAGGAAGATTTTTCCTTTTCATGCTTATATCTTCTTCTTTCTTGAAGTCCATAAAATAAAACAAGTTGTGAGACAAGTCTTTCCACGTATTTCTAAAACCATAACTACGTAGCAGTCTTATAAACTCTTTTACGTCCTGGAATCTGCTTTCGACCTCGGCTATTTTCAAGATCCCGCTACGTTGATTGGAACAAAAGCATTAATTTCTTGCATTGCCATAACAATCAAAAAAAGTATAATTACTACTTACTTATTTTTGAGAACCCTATTGGCTTCTATTATATAATCCTTAAGATTAGAACCCATTAAGGAGAGACAAAATACAACCATGTGGACGCTGTTCATTAGTAATGGAGTATGGGCCATGTCGCAAGCCTTCACTCTGTCGTTCAGAGCAAGGAAGTCGAACGAATGTACTGTGTGGGGAACAGAAGCAGCCAGCCGTGCCTCGCCGCATCCAAAATCGGCGATCACACTGTCCGTCGGCCTGTAATTATCAAGACATTGGTAGCGTTGAGGCTTACATAAATTTCTTTAAAGAATAAGAACAAGGCATACTGTACAGTTTGTTAATCGACGATATTACAACATCCAGTGGATTTACTGTCCATTGCTCAGTTTGCTGTTTATATCCCTCGTGATAAGCCATAAAAGCATCAGGATCTTTGTTGAAGTACTGCTTAGACTGCGAACTCTCGTTGCTGTAGAGTATCTCGTTTATAAATCTGAATCTAGACGCTCTTAACTGCGTTAACATTTTGTCTCTCAATGTGAGCTGCGCAACTTTCTGCTTTAACTGCGACTTGTCGTCGAGCATCTTTGCTACGCGTATAAGATTTATTTTACGTTCGTTCAGCTTCAATATATTGTCAGATTTTGTCTGTGCTTCCTCAGTTGACACATGTTTCACCTTTTTTTTATTTACCTTTTCAAGTTTTTGAATTTTCATATTTTTACGCTCAAGATCAAGATTCTTTGCAGGCTTTCGTAACTTTTTGATTCTTTCTTTCGCACCATCGACCCTTGCAACATTCTTACTTCTGTGACCAAGATTCATGTTCATTGTTACAAATCGTTAACGCTAACCTCTAAGTACCAGGCAGTAAAAGCAGCTGATTCGCCATGTGTGATCTAACAATAGGAATAAGTAGACAATAGACATTTTGGTAAGTAGACATTTGACAATGCAATAAACTAAATACTTATCTTAAAATAATATTTATAAATTACATTATTACAAAATATTTAGTTATAATATAATAATTATAATAGTTTCAAATAATAATAATTAACATCTAATGGTAATAGCTGTTCAAGGAATTCTGATGATAACATCTCTTTGGTGTACATACTATAAATATGTATATGATAATACTGTATGCTTGGTTGACATTAGTTTCTAGTTTACTCACGAGATGGCGCCACAGTTAACTTTTCGCGAGAGACGAGCGCGAGCGGCTCGTCGCGCTGTGTCAGTCACGTCTCTCCTCTCAGTAAACAATATGGCCGGTTTGCTGTGGTGCGCGTGTTATGTCGTCCTCGCCGTGTTCGCCGAGTGCCGACGACCGTGCTGCGAGCGGGGTTAGCCGTTCACGGTAAGTGCAAGCCCGTAATCGGGGAACGCGCCTGTCGAATAGCATATGAAGAGACATCGGTGCCGCGGCCCGGCATCCGCGCGGTCACGCCACGGCTCCGCGTAACGCGTGTGCGCGCGCGCGCGCGCGCGCGCTTGCGATCAAACGGCGATTTCGGCCGAGAGGAACGCTCCGTTCCTCTCGGACCGGAGCAGAGAAAAAAAAGAAGAAGAAGAAGCCGCCCGACGCGGTCTCGAGGCACTTCCCGTCGTACGCCCGTACCCTGTCAACGTCCGTGTCGCGGCGGTAACAGGTGTCGTGCGGGCGCGAGTGCACGCGCACTCGCGCCCGTACGTCGTCGAGCGGGTAAGGGCGAACGTCGGGTGCGCGCTTTCCGCGAATTCGCGAACCGCCGCTCCCTGTATCAATTCGCCGTCGACGCGGCGCCCGCTTTCATGCGATTTTTCGTGACTCCCGCGAACTTGGCCGCGAGCCCCGCTTTTTGCACGCCGGTGGCGACGACGGCGCGCGAGAGACGCGCCAACTCAACTCGCGTGGCCGCCGAAGCAACAGGTTTTTTGTACCGAGAAACTGTGCGGCGGCGGCGGCGGCGGCGACGACCTCTGGCTTTTCAACGAGATTCGCCGAAGTCGTGATTCGGACTGAGACTTTTAACGTGTTTTCCCAACGTCGTCATCGAGGACGATTGAGGACTTTCGGCCGTCGACGGGTCTCGAAGCGTGTGCAAAAAGATGCGATAGATTATTACAAAATTACATTTCACGTTGAACGAAGTATATAGAAGGTTTATTTGCGTAGGACGGAGTGTTTAATAATTTTATAAATCTCAAGATCGCACGGAGTTGAACTGACTCGTCAAATGCATGCCAATTAGCCGCATTCGTGTATAAAGATCTCGGCAATGAGGATGTACTTGGTGCGATTGCAGATTTAAAACGACGGAATTTCGAAATTGCAGACGGTTTTACGTCTACGGCGGAATGAAAGGGGGGGGGGGAGAGAGATAGATAGAGAGAATACACGCCGCGTTCGCGGAAAGAGGAATCGTGCGCGTCGGTGGAGCAGCGTAAAATCGCGCTGTGACGCAAGACGCGCTGATCTCAAAACTTACGTACGCCGCACGCACGTGCGCTCCTGCCTCGTTCTCTGCTCGCTTCTCGCGCGAGAGTTTGGCGAATCGAAGGATTTCGCGATGCGATGAGAAGGAAAACGAGATTTCGATGTGGAAATCGATATTGGAAAAAAAGAGAGTGCATATACGCGCGCAAAGACGCCGCTTCGGAAAATACTGCAGGCCAGCTTTCATTTGACCTCGTTTTAAACGTTTCACGATACGCGAACTCGAAGCAAAAGTCTAATTTGATTGCACCGAATAATAAAATAATTGATTTACAATTGAATAGCTCAGCGAGAGAAAGAGAGAGAGAGAGAGAGAGAGAGAGCGCTGCAAAAATGTTCAAAATTTAATATTTTCTATAATATGTCTTGTCTCTATAAATGAATATAAGAACGCAATCAGGAGTAATGTTATATAATAACGAGAGAAAATGTATTATTGCATAAGTAATGAGCCTCTAGACATCGTGATGTCGTCATAACTTCCATATTAATTAACTTCTAATTCGCGAAATGTAAATGTTTCATACGAGACGAAAATGTACGTTCCACGGTATTTACACGGTAATAGAATGAAGGCCGTTTTCCGAGAAATAAAAATGATATTTTTCCGACATGCACGCGATTTGCAAAAGAAAAAAAAAGAAAAAGAAATAAGAAAAAAAACACGAACGTGCGATTTGTTTCGAGTCTCCGATTCGATGTGTCCGTCTTTTTTTTCCTTTTTTCCTCAATTCTTGACGATAATTATCACAGTACTGCGCGGCTATCTCCCCTTTTCATTCCCTCTTCTGATTGCGTACTCGTACGTATAATATTTTCGCTCTACTAAAGCGACGACGTTTGATGCGTTCGTTACTTGACGTCACTTGTCGAACAAACGTGTAGAAACGCTTTTGACGTAACTGCTTACTTCGCAAGCCTAATTGAGTATTGCAGATCCGTTTCCCAATTTTGCTCCCTCGAGTTACGACATTTCCGCGGCGAGGAGCGCGGCATTATCGCGAAAGAGTTAACTTCTTCAGGAAAAAAAAAACCGCGTTGCGTTCTTAGCGTCGCGCGCGAGCCGCCTTCTCTCGTTCCCTCGCGAATGACGTAAGTTGACGTATCGCGACGTTCTTGTTGCGCTCGTCCGCCAGCTAGTCTAATGCTAAAGATCCCCATTGATTGGTGCCTCAAAAGCGAGCGTCGCACCGACGCACCCTTTAGCGAAAACAGATTGATAAGTCGCGGACACAGCAGATTCGCGCGTGCATTGTGTTAAATTTAGCGATGCCCCGTTCATGTACCGAAATATCGAGCATTTAATAACGCTACGTGTCGAAAAACGACAAATGTCGTTTTTTTCGCTCTGTAACATCCGTCAATCTTTTAATATATACCGCGTATATATCGTTGAAATAAATTTGAAACATTTTAACGTATGAATTTTAATACGTATGATATATAAATTGCGCGTGCAGCAGTCATGTGTTGCACGAGATTTTAATGACACTCAAAACAATAATCTGTGATAAATTAATTAAATTTAATTAATTGATTCAAATTAGAGTGGCAACGTTATTTTCAGCCGTGTAGATTTCTGTACTATAAATATACAGATTAATATGCGTCTGAGCATAAGTATCCTGTTGATTTGACATTTGAGAATATTTTCGTGTAGACTACAAGAGCAATGTGAAAGGCGATGGTCTGTCTCGATTTTCGGCCAGGTGTCTAGGCATTCCGAAAGCGTCCTCGCGCCGTTTCGCGCGGAGATCCTTTCTCCCCGGCGAGGTAAAGACGTCGCATGACCTCGGGACTCCCGTCGGCGGCGTCACGTGCGTTCTCGTTGAGCCGAGGATACGTCTCGTGCTTATGCAAATCCGTCGTCGCGCAATCTCTCTGTCGTCGCCGGTCGCCCCCGTGAACAGATCCTCGCCGAGCGCGAGCGCGCGTTTTCGCCGGTGAGATGACAAGACGCTCCTTTGTTGTTGCCAGGTGAATAATCGCCGTGTAAATAGCGATAAGTGACTCGAAGAACAAGATCGCGACTGGCGCACGGGCAAACAGTCGTCGATCTGTTTAACACGTAATCCTTGTAGCCTTGGGATCTATAGATTCCTCCATATCTTTTTTTTTTGTACACTCTTCTTCGATATATATATAGCGTTGAGATTTAACAATGCATCGTTATGTTAGAATTATACAATTATAGTAACAACGTGTAACAATTACTATATAATTTTGTGTTTATGATTCCACGTGCCATATTGCGCACGTTTATGCAATGAAGATTTTTTTTCTTATGCAATTCCCGCAACGCGAACGTTTGCAAGTTGATAATAATGCTCATCGATCGCATATCACTCGGCAATGTAAATACGCCGCCTTATTTTAGTGAATAACGCCTGTGTGGGTTGAATAACTACAATCTCTTCGATTGTTACTTCGCGCCTGAAGTTGAAGAAGCACACGCTCGGTCGGCCTGCGGTTATCGCGCCTAACGATCGCACGGACAGCAGCATTAGGTCACATCGATTCCCCTTACCCCTTGGCGTTTCCTGAATAATGGATGCATTTTCCACTACCTGTGCGCGCTATAGGGGTGCAATTCGCGAGGCGTATATGCCCGCTGTTGTTTTCGCACGGCCTGTCAACAGATTCCCTTACGACGAAATTGTGACGATATTGTTCGTCTACGCGTCACATGGCCTGACACGTATTCCTCTTGCTCTAATGTGTCGTGTAATATCGCTCCTTAACTATCTTACATACTCAGACGTTAATTATTATAATGCGAGGTCGTTAACGCGCGCGAGGTAAAGTTGATAATTCATCGTTATTCTTCCTATTATCTCTTTTAAGCGAAAATTAAACTTCGAGTATCTTATATTGAACTTTGTTATCTTTATTTTCCCTTTGACATTTCTTTGCGTTATTATATGAATTATTCTTCTTTTTAATTCTTAAGAATTATGGAACGATAATCATCTCGCTTGCTTATTTTAAGACAGTTTTGACATCTCTTAAAAAATAGACCTCGTAAATTGTTTTGCCTGACGCTTGAACGACCGATATGTCGAGATTAGCCGATATTTCGAAGATTTGTTTTACGAGAGAACGAGAATGTTACCTCTTGCGTTATAGTTATCAAAAATACGAAGGCCACGATTGTGATTTGCAGCGTAACGAGCATAAAACGCGTCACGCTGTTTACATTTTCGAGAAACGAAATCGCGATTTATCTGATTTATATCTGTCACGGAAGTTGATTTACAAATTCGTCGAGCATACTCGCATTTTGTAAGATGCTCGAGTATTTGCCGTACTCTCGGAGATTGTCAAATATAAAGAATACAATTTTTTAAGTCTATAATAAATTTATAGGTAATAAATTTTTATTGTCGTACCATAAAGTGAGTTCAATTCAATGTCTGCAACGCTGGATAAGCCATCCAATGTAATATATTCCGTAACATCTCGATCTAATAATTTTCTGTTGATTAAATTTACACGCAAGTGTGTACGTTGTATTTGTTATATTTTACTATCATTTGG